GAGATGCCAGACAACCTCTACACCTTTGTGCTGCGGGTGAGTGACGGGGCTTCCACACCAAGGGGGTGATAAGATACTTCTCAGACCTACATAGCTGTCCCTTTCTGCTCTGCCAGGTGAAGGACCGGACAGACATCATCTTTGAGGTGGGAGACGAGCAACAGCTGAATTCGTGGATGGCTGAGCTCTGGGATAGCGCAGGCCGAGGGTGAGGCCCGCCCCTCCACAGCCCACCTGCCCACCCAGACCCACGGGGTCCTTAAGCATGGCCTCTTCTCTGGCAGGCTGGAGAGCACAGATGCAGAACTGCACATTCCCACCATCCCAGAGCGTAGCACGTCCAGCTCCCGGAGGGGAAGCAGAGATTCCTTAAGCCAAGGTAAGTAGGGTCAGGTGCTCCCCTCCTCTTGGTATGCTGAACGTGTGGCACCCACTCAAGTCACCACTAAACCATCTTCTACGTCAGGTGCTTCTCCCGGGGGACTGCTGGACCCAGTCTGCCAGAAAACAGATCACTTCCTGTCCTGCTACCCCTGGTTTCATGGCCCCATCTCCAGAGTGCAGGCGGCCCAGCTGGTGCAGCGGCAGGGTCCTGATGCCCACGGCGTGTTCCTGGTGCGGCAGAGCGAGTCGCGGCGTGGGGAGTACGTGCTCACGTTCAACTTCCAGGGCAGAGCCAAGGTACGGAACAGGGCAGGTGGGGGCTGTGCCAATGCTGTCCCTGGAGCCCAGGGACGGTGTGAGCCTGCCTTCCCTGTCCTGCAGCACCTGCGCCTGTCCCTCACGGAGCGAGGCCAGTGCCGAGTGCAACACCTGCACTTTCCCTCAGTGGTGGACATGCTGCATCATTTCCAGCGCTCACCTATCCCACTGGAATGTGGTGCTGCCTGCGACGTCCGGCTGTCCAGCTACGTGGTAGTCGTCTCCCAGCCACCAGGTGTGACAACTAAGGACCCTCGCTGAAGCGGGTGGCTGGCATGGGGAGCTACAGAGGGGGTGAAAGCTGGCTGCACACCGTGCAGTGCAGAGAGGTGGTTCTGTGTTCTGACAGCATGGTCTCTCGGTCCTTACCCTAGGTTCCAGCAACATTGTCCTCTTCCCTTTCTCCCTCCCTTGCTGGGACTCGGAGCTGGGCCTTCCCCACCTCAGCTCTTCTGGTTGTCCCAGGGGGTCTGGCCCAGAGAGTCTCCCAGGCCGATCGTCACCCCCAGAGCAGATCTTCCACTTGGTGCCTTCACCCGAGGAACTGGCCAACAGCCTGCGACACCTGGAGCAGGAGCCTGTGAGTCGAGCCCGGGACTCAGATTACGAGATGGACTCATCCTCGCGGAGCCACCTGCGGGCCATAGACAACCAGTACACACTTCTCTGATGGACATCGAGGGATCCAGGCCTCCGCAGCTGCCCCAGGAGCACAAGCAGAAATGTGGCCTTGTGAATGTAATGATCTTTCCTTCCTTCCAGAGAGAGATTTAAGGGACACTGTCAACTGCTCTTTCCAGTTTGGACGTGACCCTTCTATTAGGCCTGTTAAAGGGCCTCCATGTGAGTTCCGTCCATCACCTGGCTTACTTCTTATGTTTACAGGTGTAGTTCTTGTCCACAGATGCTGCTCGCTCTAGCCCTGGGTCCCTGAGTCCAGGCCCGTCACTCAGAGGAGCTGGGGTGAGGGCTGGAGCTGGCAGTGGAACCTTGTTCCTTTTCACTGACACTGTCACAGCTGACAGACTTTCTACGGGGTCGGGGGGGGGGGGTTGTCACCAGGAAGCCCAAAACACTAACAAGCCCTGGATTTTCACATTGTAAAAGCAGTCCCGTGGCAGGTCCACGCCACAGGTGACCACTCCTACTCCTGCTTCTACTCTCAGCTTTAGGACAAAAGCTCTGTCAGAGAGACAAGCTAAAAGTCAAAAACGATTTTAAACATTTTACCTCAGATTTTGTTAAAGGATTCAGGTTTCAAAACTAAACCATTGCTTACTTCATTGCACTGTTTCAACTAGCACCCAGGCTGTTTCTGCAGTCAGGGACAGCTATGCAAGCCCTGCTTGACGTGCTCGTGTTCGGAGCCAGCCTGGTGTCCTCAGGACAGCTGCTGAGTAGCTACTGTCCTTCCTAAATGTACAGAGGGCAGTGTGTCACCCATTCCTGAAGTAGGGTGGCAGGGAACAGTTCTACCCTGGTGCCTTATAAATAAACTGGATTCCGGTTTACAGCAGCTTCACAGAGACTTTGGTTAACTGGGGGTAGGGTGTTTGGGGGAGGGACAGGCAAGAAGGGCTCCTGGACCCTTTGTAGTCAATCTTCAACCAAAAGGCTAGGTCAGAGGCCCCCAATGGCTTACTAAATTATCCCTTAAGTAGGCTTTAGGCTCCTTTTTGAGCCAAAATGGAAGCTAAGAATCTGGTGCCATAGCTCATAGCCAGCATTCTGTCCCAGCACACTTGGGCACAGTCTGTCAGGGAGGTCAGACCTCCATCTATACTTGCCCTTCACAAGTGAAACAATTCATATGGGATGGGCTCTGTCCAGAACCTTCCACTTGTAGGCTCATAAACAGAGGGGGCAGTGACAGTGCTGTCAGCTGCTCCTGCATGCTAGCAGACCATTCAGTACAGCCACCAGGCTTCCAGGAAACAGAGGAGTTTAGCACAGCTTAACATTCCCAACTTCAGAAGTGACATAAAACCTCAGCCCCAAACAGTACTGCCTTCCTTATCTGGTGGAAAGGTTTGGTCTGTTCCTGCTACTTACTCCAAGAGATGAAACTTTCACTTCTGGGGATTCTTAGGGGGAGAAGCAGCCACCTCTGTACCACTCTGAAAACTCTTCTGGTGTGTTCATGGATCATACAGTAGAGCTGTGGTCCTTTTTTTGTTGTTGTTGTTTATAAATATTTGGGATTGAACCCAGGGGCTCTTTATCATGGAGCTACATTCCCGGCCCTTTTCAATTTTTATTTTGAGAAAGAGCCCCACTAAGTTGCTGAGGCTGGTCTTGGATTTGCAATCCTCCTGCCTTAGCCTGTGATCCCAGTAACTTGGAAGGCTAAGCACCAACACACCCAGCCCATGGTCCATTTTTAAGGATGTTGGTCTTTATTTTCTATAAGCAGGCTTATCTTGAAGAAGAAAAAAAAGCTAAGTGCGCACTGAAGAAGTAAGCAACATTCTGGAATTTCTTTTCTAAGACAGAAAGGCAATTCTGATTGGTCACTGATCCAGATTTTCTCCTATGTGCATAGGAAAGGGAACAGGTGCATAGTGAACCAAGTGAATGCCCTCCTTCCAGGCATAAATTCAAACATCTTCCAATTAGAGGCATTCACTTCTCAGCAGTTGCTCAACAATATACACATCTCAAGTAGTGCCACAAGGCACACCAGGTACTGCAAACTTAGCAGGTCTAAACTACAGGTTGCCAAAATTTTTTGACAGACAATTGGAAGTCCCCAGAATACTACCTGTGTCCAGGTTACCAGGATGGCTTACATACATTCTGACAAAAAGTCCCTTCATGGCCCTGGAAAAAGTGACACTAAGTTGATACCTTTCTGCTAGAGCAGAGGAACAGTTTGTCCCCAGGGTAGATACTCTCACCAGTGAGGGGCAGGCACCCTGCTGGCTGCAGCTAGTCTACCACAGTCCACATTTCCCTTCTGCCAATCCTCACTGGCAAGGTGAGGCCGTGCCAGCAACTAAGAGCAAGGCTCTGAGCACCAAACTGGACACTAAGTGGCAGGATTTGTCCAGTTAGCCCTACTTATGGACCATAAGTATCACTCGACAGCTCCCAACACCACCACTTCCTTCTGACTACTGAATTTTTACAAACTAACAGTCACCAGCACCAAAGAATTAAGTCAACTAACCTGCCTTGAATTTTAGACCAGCAATCCATATGGCTTTATCTGGTATAAATCTTCTGCCTTTGATCATTTCTGGACCGAGTAGGAAAAAGGAATAGCAATCATTAAAATCTTGGGCCAGAGAACACTATTTTTACATAACAGTTTCTTAACTTAAATCATGGCCTTGAACTTCTCTTCCCTGAGAGTTGCCTGAGATTCCTTCATGCTTTTTATTCAGGGCTAAGGCTATTGCAAGTGTCATATTAGCACTAACATCTTCAAAGTATATTATCCACTGCCTTTTAACAAGGACACACATCAGACATCCAGAGTTTGGTTGGAATAAGCAGCACATAGTGATAACACAGAGTGGATTCATCTTGTATCGTTATAAGCAGAAGGAATTTGGAAAATCTTTATGTATTGTTTATGTACTGTACAAGTAACTTATTCTTGAATAATGCGAATTTTGCTATAATGTACAAGTTGCTATATGTGAATTAAAAATTTTTCAGAATCTTCATTTGTTGCCACAATGTCTGAACGCTATTAAGACTATATTCTCTATTAAAATCTTTATCCTGCTCAAATACTTGCTTTTCCCCCTTTTCCTCCCACAAACTAACAAATACTTCTGCGCTACAACTCCAGCCTTTTTTATTTTTGCAGACAGGGTCTAAGTTGCCCGGGCTGGCTTCAAATTTCTGATCCTCCTGCCTCAGCCTCCCAAGTTTCTGGGACTATAGGTAGGCACTATCATGCTTGATTTTATTACAGTTTTTCGTCTCCTGCCCTCTACTGGTAAAACAGATGTCTAAATTGGAACAGCTTCTGACTAATACATTTTGTTTCTGGAGATATGAAAAAGAAAGCTTACAGAATCGGCGCCAGCTTGAGGCTGTGGACTTTCAGTGCTGCCCAACTCTGGCCAGCCTTCCTCCTTCTGAAGCCGACTGCTAATCCACCAAAGAGAATATCTCAGTCTTGTCATTTTCTAGAGATACCTTGAACCAGAACTAAAGGTGAAGAAGAAAAGTCATTCATAGCCACGACCTTCCAGGAAGTTAAAGTAGCAAGCAGCCCACCTGCCTCGATAGCCAGTCTCCTACAGTACACGAAGTAGCTTAGACAAACACACACTAACTTGATATCAGTTTTTAAAACTTTTTTTATTTTTTAATTTTTTTTAAGTTTTTATTTTATATTATCTACAAAGTAAAAGTTTTTCCCTTAACTTAAAAGTTGAACCACTGTAGACAGTGATCACCTCATCAAACTTGATTTATAAATAATAATCCGTCAGTTTGACGGTAAGAGTTTACTGAACCTTTGTCAAGTTTAGTAAAAGGGTGTTCCAAGTCTTGATTTTTTTTTTTTCCTTTTTTAGCAGTAATAGCAGCAAGAATCACTCTTGTTACTTCTTTTGCTAGCTGATGTGTTCATGACTTTTTTGAGGGCCATTAAAAAATAAATAACTTCCAGTTTTGGCAAGCAGAGCTGGGGTACTTGCGGGACTTGGAAACAGCATATGGAATTATGGAACAGCCCACAAGTTCCTAAATGCCTCTACTCGGTCCAAATATCTTCCACTGCAAGTGAACTGTTAGCATTCCTATTGGATGTTACAAGAAATCAACATATATTTTTTTAAAAACAAAATAAATGAAATTCTAGTTTTCTGTGCTTCCAGTTGGTAGAAGCAGAAGAAGGGAGGAGGGAATTTGGCCTTTCGGTTCCTCCAGGGCAGCCTTACAACTGCTGTTGGTGGTGGGCTTGTACTGTAAGAAAGAAAAGTGAATATTTAAACAGAACACTGGCAACACTGAATATTAGCCTAGTGCCTCTGCAGCACTATCCTGTGAACTATCCTTGTACTAACTGAATAGGACTCAGAATTTATTCACTTGCCCCCTCCCATCTGTACCAAGGTGGGGAGGGATAGGGGGTGGGTGGTGGGTGGGTAGAAACAAACCAGTCAGACGTAAAACCACTTCAGATAAAACTCCCAGAAGACCTGCTGCGCAGGGGCAGGAGAAAAGGCCTTAATGTACCCCTCCCCAAATCTTAGCCAAGCACAGTATTGCTTTCAGAGTGACAGGTGAGACTGAAATATCGCCATGGCAGCCATCCAGCTCCAGAGCACAATCGCGGGTATCCTCCCCGGCCGGGGCGTAGGCTGGCGCTGCTGCTACACTCAAACCACTCCGCACACAGCACTTGCTCATCTGTGGTCTCCACGCTACAATCAAACTCTGCCATGGTAATAACCCCCCACATGTCAGCCTGTTGGGACTCAGGAAGGAACACACTGCCCTGTCCAGCCTATCATAACAAGGAAGGCCAACTGAGTCCTAGGCATGCGTCAGCTATCCGGAATGCTGCTGCTGCTGCTGCTTCTCATCAAGCCAAATCCTGTATACCATCAGAACACACACAGACTCGGCTCCTGGAAGCCTCAGACCCTGACCTTGACTGATCATCACAGTCCCTCCTGTGCACACTAAGACGGGTCTTGCTATTCTTGAGTACGGGGCTAGAAGCGCTGGCCCTGCCTGCCATTCAACCTGTGCGAGCAGAATGCTTGGGGTGCCCCGGCGGCCCCTGCACACACACGCCTCACCTGAAGGGTGCGTCATATAGGGGAAATGCGCTGTTGTCGAGACTGGAATGGGCTGTAGTGCACTTTGAGCGAGGGCGGCCTGGGGACCGCCGGGTGGCTGTGTCGTCATTAGCATCATTGGCGCATGGGCAGTTGGATGAGAAGGAACCATTCCTGACTGTACATGAGCCTGAAACAGAGAGCTCTTTTACGCATACAGGCAACATCTCCGGCTTAAACAACATGTCAACTGTTCCTCTCACTGGTCTGGGACACTCAGGAAAGGACAAGGGTGGGCCTCAGGGCCTCCCTTTTTTTCCTCCTCTGGGGACAATCCCTGGTTCACCTTTTGATATATCCTGCAGGGCTGAGGGAGTAGGCACCATGTAAGCCTGAGTAAATGCCAGGGCTGCAATGACCTGATTGCCAGTGTTTTTCATCACTGAATCTGTGTGGGGGGCAAGGTCTTCACAAAAGAGCAGGCCTGACCTGAGCAAGGGCAGCTTCCTCAACTTACTATTACATGAGACACAATGGTGCTTCAGAATCAGGCTTCCTTGTGAGGCCTGAAGTCATTTTACAGAGAGCATTCCTTTCAAACAGGAAAGCAGATTGCTACCTGATAAGCAGGACTGTCAGATGCCATCATAGGGGTTATCCTAGCCCTCTCCTCGCGTGGCCCGCCCCCTCTGCTGTGGCCTGTTCATCAGGCAGGGAGAAGGAATTCTTGGGCTCTCTTTATTTTCTAAAAGGTATGCTGATGGAGCCGGAGGAGGAGGAGGAGGCGGCGGCGGCTGCAGGTAATGGCTCCAGTGCTATGGGAAGGAGTCATCTGAAGCTATCTGGGCCAGTCCAGTGTCTCTGTACCAAGTGATAGCAAGTTCAAGTTGGAAAGGAGATTTTAGCCCAAATAGCCGGACCCCAGCTCTGCAAGGGGTTAGCAGGGCCAGGAAGAGCCCTCGTTTCCTGCCTCACAGACTCCACACTGTTCTAGACCATAATCTTCAAATGAAATGCATTTTATGCAAATTAACTCACATTCAAATAGGCCCATGGCATATTTGGGCTTCACTATATTAACCTTTTTACTCTTTCTGCACAAAAGCAACAAGTAAGGTTTTCTGGAACCCCAACTTATATTTGAATTCACATACTTATTTAGCCACCATCTTCTGCTAGGCACCTACAAGACCCCAGTTCTCATGAAGCTGATTCCACCAAAGCACTCTGACCCACACTGAACAAACCGCTCCCTCCCCATTAGCAGGAACAAATAAATTGCAGTGTACTACACTACAGAACCTGAACTCTACAGGGTGAGGAAGTCAACTCTCCTGCACTGTGGACCACTGGTTACAAGGTACATTCTGAGAGAGCTCCAACTGTGTCCAAACTCTAGCCCACACCTTGCCAGAGCCTCACTGGCACACTATTTGACAGGAAATGGAATTCAGTGAGATAGGGTCTCGCTAAGCCCACCTAAGAGAGTTTTGTTATAAACTAACAGCAAAGACACCTAATACAGCCAGGTCACCCTCAACAGCTCCAGGGAGGGCCTTCCAGGACAGCACTAGAGTCCAACTTCAGTGCAGTTCCTTCTCCTCATTACAATCCAACTTGGCACAGGCCTGCACTGGACCTCTGTCAGCAGCTGATGCAGACGGCAACCACACCTTTCAACCTTTGGAAGCTTATACTGGAGGTGCTCCAAAATGCTTCCAGGGCACCTGGGTGTTTCCAACTTCTACTTACACTGCACCAAAGTACAAGGCCAAGCTCTCTCAAGAAGTACAACACATGGTCGAAACAGATGGAAGGATAACCAGGAAAAACAACTGGAAAGACTTCTGATTAGCATTCAAGCTGACTCAGCTGAGAATCTGTGAAGGCCTTCCAACCCTGCCAGGCTTCTGTGTGTATGTGTGGAGGGGTGTGTATATATATATGCACACACACACACGTATATATAGGAGTGAAGCTAAAGAGACGTAGCAAAGCAGACACAGGGAGGAAAGGACTGGGTACATTCCAGAGTCAAAGAAAGATACTTTTAAGGTCTCAGCTGGGAAACGTTAAGGGACTGACCAGTAAGTAAGCAACTTCACTGATCCCGTTACAAAATCACACCGACATTTAACTGAGGGCCAGATCACGTGTACTGAGCAGGGAAAGGAGACAGGCAAATGGCACCACACACAGGGTTTCCTAGCTTTGAGAGCATCTGGCTCTTTGCTGCTTATTTGAGCACCACTACACCCTACTCCGTCTTCACAGGAAGTAGGCTAATGCTGGATTACCTGAGGTACATGGGCCATGTGGGGTGGATTGGTATATGCCGGCTGAACGTGAGAAGGATGGATTGTAAAGACGGTCTGTTGTGCTGTTGGGAAACTATTCTGTGGCGACTGCGTATTGGAGGCAGGTGTCATGGAAGGTGGGGTTGGTGCGAGCCCCGCGTGGTAAATGGCTGACTGCTGCTGTGGACTGGCCAGATGGAGAGCCTGGGCGGCCTGGTGCTGATGGTGCTGCAAAGCAATGGGGAAAACGTGAGATTAAGGGCCATACAAACAGTGCTTTGCACCTGAAAATGGGCTCTCCTAGGCACACGTGAGATGAGAGCACAGCAAAGTCCAGGGGCAGAACAGTGAGGATGGGTGGTGCTTCCTGCCCAGAGAAATTCCTAAAGCCCGACTCTCAAACTGGGAGTTACAAGTCCCCAATCAAGCAGAGGGAACTGACAGATTCTCTCTGTCAAAGAGACTCCTAACTACCTGCATTCATAAATATGACTAAAGAAGCTAACAAGGGAAAAATTTCATCACATAAACTTTAGGATTGAAGTAAAGTCCCAAGCAAATATGAATTTATGATAAATTATGAACTTCACATGAAATTAGATTTTTCAAAGCTTATCTAATCACCTTAGTTTCATCATATACCTTAAATCTCCTTTTTATATTTTTTAAAAATATATTTTAGTTGTAGTTGGACACAATACCTTAATTTTATTTATTTATTTTTGTGGTGCTGAGGCTTGAACCCAAGGCCTCACACGTGCTAGGTGAGCGCTCTACTGCTGAGCCACAACCCCAGCCCTTAAATCTCCCTTTTTAACCCCCACCCCGACTCCATAGGTGAGTAGCTGAATGCTGGTGGCTGTACTGTGTGTTCTGAGCCTGTGGTGACTTGCACCTTGCCTGACTCTGAAGACAGTGCTCAGTAGCCAGAACAAGGAGGCAGCTCCATGCAGGCCCAAGTTTTTCCTTACCTGAACAGGACTGGGTGCAGGATGACTTCCACCATGTTGGCTTTGTTGCTGTCCAGTGGGGGTAGCTGAAGGCTGAGGATGTGGAGTATGTGGGTGCAGGGTAGTGTTAGGGTGCGCATACTGCTGAGCAAGGGAGCCCGTGGAAACTAAAGTGAAAGAAAAAGGACCGTGTCCAACGGACATGTTCAATGACTGTCACTGCTCCTCGTACACTTATCAACTGAGCTTTCTTGACATTATAATGCCTAACATATGCTGTTCACAATCTCTATAGCCATTTGAAATAAATTTAAAGTTTTGCTTAACAATCAGACTAGCATCTGATTTGTACACATTAAAATCTGGCTAGTTTGAATTTACTCCTAAAAATAGTCACTAGTTTTCTGCAGACGCGACTTAAAAGCCTAGGCAGGAACAATTCAAGCAATTAAACTCATGGTCGTGAAGTTACAGATTCACACTCACTTTCTTGCTAAAGGCCATCATCTGGCTAACCTCACCATGCTACTGCCCTGGAGTTGGCACAATGTTCTGTGGGCACACACTGTAATAGGGCTGGGAGAGGAGATGTGTCAGGTATGTGGCAAGGTCAAGGCTCTACTATCGAGGCCAATTCACAGGAGTCACTCCTCCACTCAGTTTGTTCCCTAAGGTTCTACTAAGAATCTCCCACCTCTGCTTTATAAAACAAGATGAAACTATGTAAAAAACGATAGACTTATTTAAGTTAAAATGTGATCATTAAAGATAAGAACCTACAAACCAATTCTTCATGAATCTCAGCATGGGCTCTACCTTGGTACAAAACAGGGAAATCAGGCACAATGATTGTCTATGACTTCCTAAACTGGCAACTAGAGAATCAAAGCCCAGTAAGATGTCCACTGCTTCTACTAACTCTGAAGAGTACCCGAATACAAATTTAACCTTCCTGCAGCAGTGCAGAGAGAACAGAATACTCACAAGCCACAGCTCTAGCAGCACCTAACTCCCAGCCCTCTCCCAAGAAAAATGAATCCTTCTATCCCTCAGAAGTCAAGTCTGCACACAGAAATGATGCCAAATTTGTTCCACACGTTCTTCATGTAATGTGTTAGCAAACACAGACACATTGCGGGGTTGATGGGGGAAAAGCAAGCACACTTTAGGGATCAAGTACCCAATGTTGCCAAGAGTCACAGCAGGGACAACTCTGGATGTGCTCCATGTCAATGGTATGCAGAGGGTTAGGTACATGTAGCAGTCTTATAATGTTTGATGTCTAAAGTTGAGGGTCACCAACACTTCAGACCAAATAGTTTCCCTTGCAACTGCAAATGTGTCTCTTAGAAGACGGATGGGAAAGGCAAATTGCACTGCTGGGATCACTTGTGCATATCCTGCCATGCCACCACTGGGTGGGTATTCTTTAATATCCAGTTGAGACTGAACAAAGCAATTCTGTATAGATCCTGGGAAAAACTTCCAGACTGTAAGAGTCAACGTACAGTAGAACAGTTAAACAAGAAAACTGTGGTAACACATTGTTTGTTTTTGTTTTTGCTTTGGGTACTGGGGATTGAACTCAGTCAGGGGCACTTTGCCACTAAGCTACATCCCCACCGCTTTTGAGACAGAGTTTCACGGAGTTGCTGAGGCTGGTCTTGAATTTGTAATCCTCCTGCCCTGGCCTCCTGAGTGTGCAAGACAATGAGTTTGATCTCCAGCACTACAAAAATAAACTCTGAACCAGGCAGTGGTGTACACCACAATCCCAGTTAGGGAAGCTTCAGAAGCTTAGGCAGAGAATCACAAGTTCAAGGTAGCCACCGCAACTTAACAACACTCAGTCTCAAAATAAAAAAATGCAAAGGGCTAGGGATGTAGCTCAGTGGTATAGGGACCTGGGCTCAATCTCTAGTACTGCCAAAAAAAGAAAACAAATTCCAGCCAAGTGCTATATTATTTTTATACATAAAATACAGTCATCACAAAGAGAATAATTGTGCCTCCCCATTCTCATAATTAAATTATTCATCAACTGGAAAAATGTAAAAATTCTGAAATTATTTGGAAAGAAAATGATATAATATTTTTACTATGCATTCATTCACTTATTTTTGTAGTGTGGGGATTGAGCCCAGGGCCTCATGCATGCTAAATGAGTACATTTTTTATCACTGAGCTATATTCCCAGACTCATTTACTTTCTTAAAAGTGGGGAGTTTGCTGGGGCTGAGGTTGTGGCTCAGAGGTACAGTGCTTGCCTTGCACATGTAAGGCACTGGATTTGATCCTCAGCACCACATAAAATAAATAAAAATGTAAAGCAAAGGTACTGTGTCCATGTTCAACTAAAAAAAAAAAAAAGAAGAAGAAGTTGGGAGTTTGCTATGCTGCCCAGACTATCCCTGAACTCCTGGGCTCAAGTGATCTATCCTCTTGCCTGGGGCTCTCAAGTAGCTGGGACTACAGGATACTGAAACCATGCCCTTTTACTATTCATATTTTTAAAATTATACATAAATTTACCAATATTCTCAGGCTGTACAGTGGAGTATTCTAATCCATAGCTAATTTGCATGCATAGCACAAATACTACAAGGAACCAAAGCAAGTAAATCTACATGGGCTTTGTTTAAAGCAACAAAAGTCATTCTCTCCCTACCTAAATACTAGCAAGCTACAGGCATTATCTAAGGAGATGAAATATATCCATTATAAACTACAAATAAATTTTCAAAGAGGTCTTGTTAGAAATATTTTTCTTTGTTCATCTTTGAACTCAAAAGACCCCATAGCAAGGAATTCTTTCAGAAAAATAAGTAACTAGGAAAAAATGTGAAACTTACATTTTAATTCAATAATAACAACAAAATTATGGTTTGGTTCTTTAAAAGGCCAGTTACAAGGAGGGAAGGAGATAAACTGAAGAGATAGGAAAAACACAGTTAAAAGAAGAGGGATAGATAAGGTAAAGAAACTGAGATAGGATAAACAAGGGAAAAAAAGCAGAATTAGGGAAAAGAAGAAATGAAGAACAAAGGGTTCTAGCTCAGTGTATTATTTAACTGCTTTTGTTACACCTGCTAATTTGGATGGGGGTGGCACAGGAGTTGGTTTTACCAGGGATTGAACGCGGCGGCACTCAACCATAGAGCCACATCCCCAGCCCTATTTTAGAGACAGGGTCTCACTGAGTTGCTTAGTGCCTTGCCATTGTTGAAGCTGGCTTTGAACTCGTGATCTTCCTGCCTTAGCCTCCAGAGCTGGTGGAATTACAGGTGTGTGCCACTACACCAGGCAACACCTGCTGTTTAAGATTCCAGGGAAGTTAAAAATTATTTTTTCAAATTGAAATTTAGCTATTAATTAGTTAAACTTCTATTTATAAAAACTTCAGTAGCCTTCACGGAATCTTCTGGATTGTGTCCAGATAGTCGAAGAACTATTGCTTCTTTGGGCTAGACTTGGTTCATAACTTTCCCATTCAACATGTTCCTTGGCATAAATATTTAAAATTCTAAATATGCTATTGGTTAAATTCTTGTAATATTAACCACATTCCAAAAACAACCATGATCCCTTGAAACAAATTCAGTCCATAAAAGTGTGTTCAATTTGTAATTAGGTTTTATCATTTTGACCTTGGATGTACAAGTTGTGACAGATCACCAGCACTTCAAAACTTTAAAAATGAAACAAAACAAAGGATTCCAAATTTAAAATTTGATGTAAATTCAGAAAAATGGATGTGAACAAAAACTGAAAATGCTTGAGGGGAATAAAAGGCAATTTGACCAAACTATGACAAAATGGCTCAGAATGGAGAAGATTAATTAGCAAATTAAATTATAAGTAGCAGCTTAATGGTTAGTTTGTTTAAAAAAGAACTTCCATTCCCTTTTAGGGGAAGTTGCACTAAGGCAATTAATGCTTAGGTGTGATGATTAAGGACCTTTTAGCTACTTACCAGGAAAATTACTCTGGACTACTAACAGAGACAGTAAGATGGTGAGGATAACTACATTTGAGACCTCAACTTGAGTATGCAATAAAATTAATCACTGGCACTACCTTTTATACACTATAATCACAGACATATTTTCCTTTTAATAGTATATACATACAGCAAGACTCCTTTTTAAAGAGCATCTATTAAAGGATTAAATTTGTTAACATTTCCTAGCACCAAATAAATACTTCTTTGATCAACTTATTTTTGGATACCAAGTCATGGCACAATTAATGAAAATTTAAGGTCAAAATGCTTTTGAAATGCTAAGTCTGGCATTTACTAGGGTCAGACATTGAGTCATTCCAAAATAATTCAAAATGTATTCCCTAACATAAGAATGTTAATCCTTATATCCTCTAGAATATGGTATTTCACTCAAAGGACATACTTTAATGGCATACATTTCTCAAAAATTTTTATTAATTAGTACCCTCCCTATTCAAATACCCAAATCCATGACCTGCCTTATTATAAAAAAGTTGTCCTACAAATAGTGGAAAACCCACCTCACAAGTTCATTTCTGAAAGAGAGCCCTGCCAGACTTTCTTCACGCAGGAGCCACTGCTTCCCTTTGCACTGTGGGAGAGGAGACCTGAGCACAAGAGGCACCCACTGCAAGATCTTGGTTTCCTTTTGAGTGAAGCTCCAGACACACATGAATGTATCTGCTACCTGAATATTTTAAACCTCCAGTCATACAAAGATTCAAAGGACTGAAATGCTTCTCCCCTCGTTTTTCATCAACCCTATACAATTCTAAACTTTGGTAAGGGGCACAGGACATGACTTAGTGCCTAGTATGCATGAGGCTTTGGGTTTAGTCTCCAGGATCTCAAAACACACACATACAAAAAAAAAAAATACCCTGGTAAGAATAAATTTCTTTATAAGGATACTAAGAAATGACAAACAAAAACCAAGGTTTTTAAGTTTTATATACAAAGCTTGTACCTTGGTATTTAAAAAGAAAAACCACTATCCAGAAGTTTGCTTGAACAAGGAAAATATTAGGCATTTCCCAAACAGTAACATGTTTGCTTGGTATGCAAAAATTTCTCAAACGACTCAATTTTTCATTAACTCCAGCTCTCTTAAGCTGGGTCATATTTCCTTTTTCAAAACTCTGAATTATTTATAGATATCATACTTTTAATGATTTTGTCTAGCACAAGGAAAATAATGTTCAACAAGTCTGCTCCCTTAACATGTATTCTTTAAAAAGTGTTTTACTGTACAATTAAAATTAGTATAAAAAACCCAACTCACTGGCAAAGTAGAAAGAAGGGCTTGTCTCCTTGTTGTATGGTAATTTGGGGCATGCTGAATTTGGGAAATAGAAAGGTAAATTAGCCTTTTAAGGTGTGCATTTTACTAAATTTCTGGAAAGGTTAACACAGTTAGTAATCTTTTTGTATTCATGCACAATTCATTTTTATTTTATAAGAAACGAGAGCACTTTTTGACACTGCTACAGAATTTTAAAAGTGGATTGAACCGGAAGACACTTTTCTTCTGTACTGAGATGTCAAGTTCCACATGCTGACTTGCTTCAATGAAAGGAATAAAATGATTATCTGATATAAAACCATTATCTGATGAAAAGAGCATGGCATCTCTCTGAACAACCTTGATATAAATAAAATACCCAAATAAAACAATATTTGGCAAATTCAAAAGAGACACAATTTTGTAAAATAATAGAAATGTCATTATAGGCATCTGGTAGTGGATTCAAAAATTTAGAAATGACACAAACATGAAAATGTTATTATTTCTCATTAAAATATGTCCATATAAAGGGTGTGCTATGTCTGCATGTGTCTAAGTACATCTGAAAGGATGAATATCCAAAATAACAAATAGTTGTCAGGCAGAAGGATAATAGTATTTTTATTTATTTTTGTTAACTCTGTGTGTGTGTGGGCGCGTGTGCGCGTATATATGTATTTTTTAACTTATCTGCATAAAACTACCAAAACAAACCAAAAGATTAAAGCTTTACTGTTACTGTTTCTGAAAGGTAAAGCCAGTGGTTTTATAAGCCAAACTGAGATGAATTAGAAGATTGGATGGGAGGAAACTCCTGAGGAGGGTAGAGGCAATGATCAAAGACTAAAGTCAAAGAGATGAGGGGTGTAACAAAAGTCCTTAATGAGATAGCTAGAAAGCATACAAGTTTGGGCTGGGGTTGTGGCTCAGTGGTATAGCACTCACTGGCATGTGTGAGGCCTGGGTTTGATTCTCAGCATCACATATAAAGAAAATAAATAAAGGTACTGTGTCCATCTACAACTAAATACACACACACACACATACACACATATATAAAAGCACAAGGTCAATGTTTTAGAATGTATTCATCTCCTAAGAATTTAAGTATTCAGTAATGTTAGCATATTTATAATAAATATATCAAAATTTAAAAACATCCTACAGTCAATTCATGATCAGCTATATTCTCAAAGCCTTTTGCTTTGACTATAACCACTAGTGAACAAAAAGATGATAAAAAATTGTCACCAACATCTGAGTGCATAGTCTTATGATTGCAATGAAAAAAAATTTAAATCTATATAGGACATAGCTTAAAAATAAAAATAATTCAGATAATTTAGTTCCTTCAGAAATATAAAATACTGTTCAGGGAGAGAAGTACAAAATTAGCTTTTCTATGAAACAATATTGTTTTAGTTTAAAGCCACGTACTTAAAACTGTTCATTTTTTTTTTTTTTTAAGAGAGAGAGAGAGAGAGAATTTAATATTTATTTTTTAGTTCTGGGCGGACACAACATCTTTGTTTGTATGTGGTGCTGAGGATCGAACCCGGGCCGCACGCATGCCAGGCGAGCGCGCTACCGCTTAAGCCACATCCCCAGCCCTTAAAACTGTTCATATTTGGCAAAATTAGGCTTTAAAGGATCTAAAATAATTCAAATAAATTACTGACAATGTACTGAAGAACTGCTTTAGCAGATTAACTTATGGGGCTTCTGAATGAAAAAACAAAATAATTAATTTTCTAGTGTTCTTTTTAAGACTTGGAAGTACCCAACAAAGAACTAGTTTAACTAGAAACAATCATACGAAAACATAGCCTTGCCACTACTGTCTCCTCATAGCAGGAATCAATTAAATACAACCTGCATAAATTATAAATAATAGTTCAGATTTGGCTGAGCAATCTTCTCCTGCCCTGAAAGAACTAGCTTTGATAACTACTTCATTTCAGCTTCCACTAGAAGTTACCTCTAGTGGTTTTGTTTATGGCAATATTTCCTACTTAACCATACTTGAATGAACTTCTGGGTACAAGATCAATTGCTTTTCCAAGGGAAATGTTCTTGGATGGTAGTTATAAAAACCATTAATGCCTCAAATACAGTATTTACCATACAGACTACTTCAAGCCAATGAACATCCATCCAAAGATGAAGTTTATCTTGGCAAGGAGTCAACACATTGGAAAGATTCTGTTCAACATCATAGCACTATCAAAATGTCTCCAAAGTGTGGGTACAAAAGTAGCTGTTCTCTAAAAGCAATGGGAATTTTGGCTCAAAATTTCAGATCTTGGGGCTGGGGTTGTGGCTTAGTGGTAGAGCGCTCACCTAGCATGAATGAAGAATTGGGTTCGATCCTCAGCACCACATAAATGTAAAATAAAGATATTGTGTCTACCTAAAACTTAAGAATAAATATTTTTTTAAAAATCAGATCTTATTCTAAGGGGAATATGACAGAAAATAAGAGGAAAGAATTTTTTTTTCTCTACTTGTTATGGTATGTTCATCAGAAATGTACAATCATAATGAACTTTTTACCTAAGCCTTTAGCAAACTGGAAAATTGCTTAAATGTATACAAATGTGAATTAAAACCAGCATGATAAATCAACAATGACTTTTCATACATGTATTTAGCCCTGGTTAAAACAAACACAAGTCAAATGACAGGAGACCACAACCAAAATAACAAAATCAGTCTATCACTATATCTTTCAAATAAATTAGACAGGCTTCTTAAAAAAAATGTTTTCCACAATATAATGATTACATAGTTTTTTATTTAAAATTCCTAATCCACAATAAAAATCTTCCAGTGATGTTGTAGGAAATTTAAGACCAGACTTATGTGTTTGATAGAAGTAAATGCCCAACTCCACATTGAAGGAGCAAGCCTCCAGAAGGAAGCAAACACTTGGCTCATTAGCCTACACAATAGCATGGCTGTCATTTATTTTAAAAAAGGATGAAAGAGAAGGTATGAAAAGCCAGTGTATCTCAAGAAGACGGTGTTTGCCAGAAATCTCTAAATTCAATTTTGCTTAGACTTATCCATTCAAGATATCAAAGTTTTAAAAAAAAGTTCACATTCTTGGGCATTCACAAATTTTAAATATGTTTAAAAATAAAAAATAAAATCTCACATAGTTGTACGTAATAAATGTAAGTTAATTTTCTACTTAAAATTTTTTGAAATGCTAAGGGGGGCATGATAACACAGGAATTCTCAGAAACATTCCCAAACATTCAGAACACAACTAACAGCTTAATTAAAGTGGCATTAATTCAAGGTGTATTTTGAAAAACATACTTTAAGGCAATCCATTAATTCTCATACATACAAGTGGAAACTTTATTTTAAATTATCAACACTGAAAAATGTTTTAGTGCTTTAGACAGTTGCTAAGTTGACACAGACAAAGTTCTCAGGCCATAAAACTAAGATAGTTGGTTTTAAAAAATTATTCTTATATAATAAATACTGTTTAATTTTATAAAAATACTTCTCATTTATCAGTTTATACTGACTGTAAAGTGTCAATAACCTAAAAGAGATATAATACTATACAATTTTGACTGCTTACAATAAAACATGATGCAGAAACACAGTACCATTATAGCAATAGCAATAAAAATATTTAATGCCAGTGACACAAAAATGAGAAGAGAAGGATGTTTTCAGCAGTACTTTTAAGCTTTTATGCACATTTTCTTGCATGCCTTGGGCAAGCTACACCAAATGATAACACTGACAAGGAAGATAAAGAAGAAATTTTCTTCTCAAAATTGTTTTGCTGTTAATAGTATCATTACATTGTAGTTCCAAGAGGAGAGACATGGAAAGACAGAACAATTGCCAAGTACAGAAGTAAAAACTCTTTGCCAAGACTTAATACAGGGGAAGAAAAGGATTAATCTTTTTCTTCTTGACCTTCAATGTCATGAGGCCAGTTTATTTTTAAACAGAGAATGCCTTTACAGAGCTTTAAAACAAATTAAGAATAGTCACACACAGTGAAAAAGACAAAGTGCTTCCTACCGTACATCGCGTGTGTCTGCTCGTGAGCCCCGTACTGGGTTGCAGAAGAAGATACTAAACCAGGCTGGGCATGTGCTGGTGGTGCCATCATTCTCGCGTTACCCTGTATTACAGGACTATAAACATGAGGATGCTGTGTTCAAACAAAGAAACAAAGAAAAAACATTAAAATATCAAAAGAGCCAAGCAGATTTTAGTTAATTTTTAACTCGATGATTCCTAGGAAGCAAGTGAAAATTCTATAGCCTTTTTGGCTATTTCCTTTAGAACTTACTCTGATCAGTAATGATTGAACATATATTAAAAAGGCTTCAAGTTCTTATTTATCTTTTCTACCATAACAAAAAGCAAAACAATATAAAGGAAAATCACTTGACCATATTAAAAGTTAAAATTTAAAAATAGAAATTAAAATTAAGAGGCCATACAACCTTACCTGAGACTGATAATGTGGCACATGCTGAACTAGTGGCTGATTTGGAAACTGCTGAGGACTATAGGCAACATACTGAGTGGAGTAAGCTGGTGGGGTGGCTACAATGGGTGGACCTGCTGCAGAGGCTGGGTGCATCATGGTGCTCTGATGATGCTGGTCTTGCCGCTGTTGGGGCATATTTGGTACTGTGGGGGAAAAAATCCTCATTAAAGGAAAACAGTACCTCCTCCTTAGTAAAACAGCTACATTAGCATACTACATACACTCACATCATCTACAAGGCTCAGCACGATTGGACTCTCTTGCCCACCTCTCCAGCACTATCTCACACCACTCTTACCACCATTTCACTCACTCTGGGCTGTTTTCCTATTGCACATGCTATTCCTCAGTCTCAAACACCAGTCCCTAACTTGCAGCTGGGAATGTCTGTGACTCATCCTTCAGGGGTCAGTCTGAAAATATCATCCTCAGTGAGATCCTCTATGACCACCATCAGACAGGACCTACCTCCTATAACAGACACAGCAGTATCAATGCCTTTTGCTTCACACCAAGTCTCAGGTAACGTGTTTATATCTACCACAAGAGATCTGGAGGCGTGTGTCTGCTCATGAGCCCAATACTGTCTGACATACCAAAATTAAGCCACCTTGCTAGGTTCATTTAAAGAAAATAAAAGTATGACAAAAGAGCCAAAAGAGAGTCAACACCCATCACTGAATTCTCAATTTCTCCCTCTTTTTCAAACCCAAGTATCATGCAGCACAATTTAGCAGATAGCAGGTGTCTAAATGACGGCTCTATTTAAAAAAAAAAAAATCCCTTTGTGTCTTATATTGTTCCACACAGATTTCCTTTCCCTTTAGCCCAAGTAAAGCTTTAGTTAAGAACTCAGATCAGGGCTGGGGTTGTTGCTTAGTGGTAGAATGCTTGCCTAGCACGTGCAAGGCCCTGGGTTGCATCCTCAGCACCACATAATAAATAAATAAAATAAAGGTAAACAAACAAACAACTCAGTTCAACTGGCATCTCTTTGTTGAGTTCTTTCTAGTTCACACAAGTGAACTAGATCCTGTGTGCCTTTTCCTTCCATGTCTACATAGCACCTATGCTCGCCTGAGATCTAGTTCTGGTGTGACATTAACCAAGCCATTCAAGGGAAGAAACTTTATGACCACTGCTTTAAGGTATGCAACATGTTCATAAAATCATCAGAATTACACAAGTATCTTCAATTTCTTCACAAAATTTTAATTTTGTTTTGATTATTTAAAAATTTTGTCTTCATAATAAGTGTTGGCGAGGATGTGGGGAAAAAGGTACATGCGTACATTGCTGGTTGGACTACAAAATGGTGCGGCCAATATGGAAAGCAATATAGAGATTCCTTGGAAATCTGGGAATGGAACCACCATTTGACCCAGCTATCCCTCTCCTCAGACTATACCCAAAGGATTTAAAAACAGCATACTACAGTGACACAGCCACATCAATGTTCATAGCAGCACAATTTACAACAGCTAAACTGTGGAGCCAACCTAGATGCCCTTCAGTGGATGAATGGATAAAAAAAAAATGTGGTATATATACACAATGGAATTTTACTCAGCAATAAAAGAGAATAAAATCATGGCATTTGCAGGTAAGTGGATGGCATTGGAGAAGATAATGCTAAGTGAAGTTAGCCAAACCCAAAAAAACAAATGCTGAATGTTTTCTCTGATATAAGGAGGCTGACTCATAGTGGGGTAGGGAGGGGGAACATGGGAGGGAGGGAAAGGGAGACGGAAGGGGATTAGCAAGGATAGTGGAATGTGATGGACATCATTATCCAAAGTACATGTATGAAGACATGAATTGGGTGTCAACCTACTTTATAAACAGAGGTATGAAAAGTTTTCGTATATATGTGTAAAAAGAATTGTAATGCAAAAAACAACAACAACAAAAAAACCCAAAACAAAAACCAAAGTACATGTATGAAGAATCGGTATCAACATATATATATGTATATGTGTGTGTGTATATATATCTTTATATACAAAGATATAAAATTGTGTTCTATATGTGTAATAAGAATTGTAATGCATTCTGCTGTCATGTATTTAAAAAAAACTAAATCAATTAAAAAAAATTTGATTAAACATTTAATGAATGTTGCTGAGATTTTATCTACTTGGGAAAGTGAACTTGAAAGCAGAAGAATGCAATGGAGTAAAATATTTTCCTGAATTAATCTTGATGGTTCATTCTGAAAAGGCACCTTCTTTTTTTTTTTTTTTTTTTTTTTAGAGAAAAAGCTTAATTTTGGCATAAGAAACACAAATAATTACTTCAATCAAATTCAATTATTTTGATCAAATGGAAGTTTGTCCAGTTAAGCTCAATAAATTAACCAATTTACTACTGCTTTTGTTATCTGATTATTGCCTCCAGTCAAAAAGCTAGCTATTCAAACGTATTATTGTCTTCAAAGTTAAAAACTTCTATAATCTTTGTTACAGTGGTTTTGTTTTGTTTTTTTCCCCCTTCCTAAACTGAATTTATGTTATTCTTAACTTAAATCAGAGTTCAGGTGGACATACTTTAACCTATAGTTCACAGGATACTCTCCCCCTCATATAAATAAATATTAACAGTGTCAGGGCTAAGAAAGTCTGCTTTATGTTAATTAAGTCCTTGACTTTGGTGTATTTTCAAACACCTCTCAACCTGTCTCAAAGGTATAAAAGGCAACTCTGCAGTTTATAGCAAGAGGGTAAAGAGATGGTTTATATAAAGACGATACTACCCTGTAGGAAAGATACACTTATACAATCCATAGTATATTTTAGAACCAAGTCCTTGCCTTTGCCTATTATTTCAAAGATATTAAAAACACCCTTATCTAACTCCTCAAATGATTATAATTTAGTAAACTAGCAGGATATAAAATTAACATACAGACTTTCATAAGAACTTAGAAGATGCTATGGTAGAGAATATCTTAGTTTACCTTAACAACAAAAAAGTTTATATCTGAGGCATAAACTGAAGAAATGCACAAAACCTTAAGAAGAAATGTTAAAATGCTCCTGAAGATAACAATTTGTTCTTGGATTCTCAACAGCATGAAGATATCAATTTTCTTCAAAGTTAACTTATAACTTTACAGTCATTCTAATAAAAATGGTAAATCCTAAATTAAAATTCATCAGTTGATACTATAATACCCCAAATAAATAACAATAAAAAACTTCGTCACCTTCTGAGGATAATAATAAATCAACTCATATTATATTGAAGATGGCCTTAAAAAGAGAAATGATAAGCATTTTAAGTTGACTTAAACTTAAAAGCTTAAGCTATGCTTCAAGGTAACCAAATAGTTTAGTGAGGTAAAGTTTTTGTTTTGTATTTTTTGGTACTGGGGATAGAACCCAAGGGTGCTCTACCACTGAGCAACATCCCAGCCCTTTAAATTTTTTTTTAATTATAGAGGGACACAATACCTTTATTTTATTTATTTCTATGTGGTGCTGAGGATCAAACTCAGTGCCTCACATGTGCCAGGCAAGCACTCTACCACTGAGCCACAACCCCAGACCATCATCTTAGCCCTTTTTATTTTGAGACAGGATCTTGCTCAGTTGCTAAGGCTGGCCTGGATCTTGTGATCCTTCTGCCTCAGCCTTCTGAGTCACTGGGATTACAGGTGTGCACCACCACACTGGCTAAAGATTTTCTTTATAGAAATATTCCACCTAATTGAAAAAGGGATTAAAAGAAGAGAATGTCACCATTTTGCAATCATTAATGAAATAATGCATCTAGGTCTATACAATGATCAGAAATTACTGCTAAAACAAACAGGAAAGAGTTATGGAAAATGTTATCCTGGATAGATGAGGATTGTAAAAACTCACTGGTTACTCCTACTATTACAAAACAGAAAGACGATGTTACATGACTCCTACTGAAAGAACATCCATCAGCCATCAAACAATCCACATTTAACTATGACTTAATAGAAGAGAGTCTAGTAACTCCTACAGAATACTAATAGATGACACCATGCCTAGCATTGCTTCAGAATATTCCAGTGAAGCCAGGGCACAAATGACAGGGGTATGAATGAGACGTGACTACCCAGAAGCTGTTAATGTCTTAAAATTTTCTTAAAAAAAAAAAAATATATATATATATATGGCTGGGGTTGTGGCTCAGAGGTACAGCACTTGCCTACCTAGCCCATGAGGCACTCAGTTCGATTCTTAGCACCATATAAAAATAAATAATATAAAAGCAATCTGTCCATTTACAACCACAAAAAAAATTTTTAAAAGAAACACACACACACACACACAAACAAAAAAAAACCCAGCCAGGCGCTTATAATCCCCAAAGATCAGGAGGCTGAAGCAGGAGGATCAGGAGTTCAAAGGCAGTCTTGGCAACTTAGGGAGGTCCTAAGCATCTCGGCAAGACCCTGTCTCAAAATAAAATATAAAAGGGTTGGGGATGTGGCTCAGTGGTTAAGTGCCCCTGGATTAAATCCCCAGTATTTTTTTTTTTTTTAATATTCATGTTTTAGTTGTAGTTGACAATACCTTTGTTTTATTTATTTTTATGTGGTGCTGAGAACCGAACCCAGGGCCTCCCACGTGCTAGGCGAGCGCTCTACTGCTGAGCCACAACCCCAGTATTAAAAAAAAAAAAAAAAAAAAAAACACAACCCCACAATCCTCGGTATTTAAAAAAAAACAAAAACCGCAAACAAAACTTGAAAAACTGCAAATTAGGAATAGATCCACATCGAACCCTTGCTTAACAATGAAAGACAATGTTTTACTCCTGAGAATGGGAACATGGCAAGATGATAGTATTTGTTAGTATCCTAGAAACCTCTCTAGTACAGTATAAGAAACAGACACAGCAACTGAATAATTGTGAAAGTCTAAAAAGCATTATCACAATGTGGCAAGACATAAAGTCAAGATTTAAATGCCAAATGCTTCTCTATGTCTAAAAAACAAAGATTTAAAAAACATCATTCAAAATAGCATAAAAATATATAAAAGTAAATTTAAGAAAGCATGTACAAAATTGATATAATGAAAACTACAAACAGTAGCAAACTGAAGACCTAAGTAAATGGAGAGATATAATTATTTATATCATAAATTGAGAATTATACAATCAGTGAAGAATCCACATTAAAATAATTCAGTGCATAATCCCAAGCTGACCACAAAAACTTACTGGAAATGCAAAGAACGTAAAATTATCAAAACAATTTTGACAAAGAAGAATAAATATGAGGAACTTACATGAACCGATTTTTAGATTTATTATAAAATAACAGTAAAGTGTGTATAGCATGAGGGTAGACATAAAGATCAAAGTGACAAAACAGGGGGCTGGAGCTTTGGCTCAGGGGTAGAGAACTTGCCTGGCATGTGTGAAGCCCTGAGTTCGATCCTCAGCACCGCATATAAATAAATAAAATAAAAGATCTATTGACAACTAAGAAATATTTTTTAAAATAAATAAATAAATCAAAAAATAAAGTGACAAAACAGTTCACAAATGAGAACCACACACAGATGGGTCAACTGAAAGATGCCAAAGAGATCAGACAAGAAAAACAGGCTGGATCTAAATACAGGCGAAAAGGAGAACTCGGGCTAAGGTTGTGGCTCAGTGGTAGAGCGTTTGCCTAGCATGCATGAGGCACTGGGTTGGATCTCCAGCACCACATTAAAAAAAAAAAAAATTATATAAAAATAAAGGTATCTGTCCATCTACAACTAAAAAAATAAAGAAGAAGAACAACAACAACTCCACCTTTATTTCATCTCCTACACAAAAATTAACTTCAAAAATCAACCATATGGGGCTGGGTATAGAGCTTAGTTGGTGGAGCACTTGCACAAAAAGCAGAAACTTTAGGAAAAAACTTGATAAAGGGACCTCATCGAAATTAGTAAGACTGGTTCTTCAAAAAAAAAAAAACCTAGTCAAGTGCAAACCACAGACTGGGAGAAAATATTCACAATACCTATATTCAATTAGGACCTGTAACTAGAATATAAAAGTTAGTTCTGGGGAGTGATATTGACCAAATCAAACTGTTATACTGTGTGCGTGTACAAATATGTAACAAATCCCATAATTATGTACAACTATATCAATAAAAAATGTAAAAATAAAGTTACTTAAAATTCGTAAGAAAACTCAAAATTTTATAAGGATAAAAGATTTTAACAATTAATTTTTTAAAAAGCTGACAAATACCCAAAATTCACATGAAAAGAAGCTCATCATCAGTCATAATCAGGGAAATGCATGTTAAAAATCACAATGAGAATCTGTAACATACCCAACAGGCTGGTTAAAATTAGAGATGGACAGTACTGAGAACTGGCAAAGATGGAGAGCAAAACAAATTTGATCATTGAAATGTAACAAGATACAACTACTTTGGAAAACAATTTTTGTTTTGTTTTGTTAATTGCTAGTTAATTGAAATATGTATTTAACCATACCTTGACAATTTTTTGACCAAGAGAAGTGGACACAAAAATGCACACAAATGTGCATAACAGTTTTCGTCAAAATAGCAAAAGCTGACAATCACACAAATGCCTATTAATTGCTAATGGGTAAATTGTGGCATAATCATAAAATGCAATGCTATTCAAGAATAAAAAGGAACAGAGAGACATTAAGTGATTACATGAAATAATCTCAAATTGCTATGCTATTTAAGCCAGACTCTCCAAAACTATACACGACATAGCTCCATTTTTTTAAAACAATCTAGAAGGGACAAGCAGATCAGTAGTTACCCAGAGCTCAAGGGAAGTAAGTATGGTTTGACGGAAAAGGGGAATGAGGAACAATGTTTGAACATTTTGATTGATGACACAATTACATAAATAAATACATTTGTCAAAATTTATGTAAACACAAAGCCAGGTACAGTGGTGCATGAGCTACTTCAGAGGTTGAAGCAAGAGGATGGAAGTTCCAGGACAGCCTGGCCAACTTGAAACCCTGTCTCAAAATAAAAAATAATCAGGGCTGGGGATGTAGCTCAGTGGCAGAGCTCCTCTAGGGTCAATCCCCTACACTACCAAAAAAAAAAAAAAAAATTACAGAATCAAACTGGTTTAAAAGTTCTTTTTTTTTTTTTAAGAAAGCCACTTAGAACAAGATTAATATAATAATATACTTCAATGACTTTTTAAATTTTTTAATATACATATATTTTTTAGTTGTAGGTGGACACACAATATCTTTTATTTCATTTTTATGTGGTGCTGAGGATCAAACTCAGTGCTAGGCAAGCACTCTACCACTGAGCCACAACCCCAGCCCCACTTCAATGACTTTAAAAAAAAAAAACTCATAGGAAGAAATTTTTGCAAGTTCAGCTTATGTGAATACAGGAAATAAATATAACTGTAGAAGAAAAAAACGGATAAGATGGACTCCAAAATTTAAAACTACTGCTCTTTCAAAGATACTTTAAAAACAAATGAAAAAAAGAAACATTAAATTGGACTGTGAGAATACACAATGAAAAATATATATGACAAAGTGCTGGGAGCCATTAGCCAAGTAGGTATGACAATTTCCTTGCCAGCGTACCCCATGTTGCTGACATGTTGCAGCGACATTGAATGTAGGTGACCTTGCTCAAGGACCAAGGCGGATTAGGGCGTTCCTGGTTTAGGTTCCAGGTTTAAGGTTTAAGATTATTCCTGCTGGGAATAGGGCGTATCCTGCTGCCTGAGTTCCCCTTGAGTTCTCACGGGATTCAGACAGTATATTTTGGAGACAGAAGCAAAGTGGAGGTGGATTTGGGCAGAGAACGTGGATTTCCCCAGAACGTGATTGTAGACGGCTGGCGTGAGTTCGGGAATAAAGAGTTGCTGTTTGAATCTACAAGCTGTGTGGTGGCTCGTGATTGTGTGCCCAGCCAGACTGCGGCATTTGTGCCCAGCCAGACTGCGGCAACAAAGGACTTGGATCCATCCAAATTTATATTTCAGTAAAATAAACAGACTCAGCCAGGTGTGTGGGGCAGAAAGATTACAAGTTGGAGGCCAACCTCCCAAGTTTAGCCAGACTCTATCCAAAATAAAAAATATAAAGGGATGGGGATAAACATCAGTGGTACCTATGTCCCCAGTACTACCAAAACAAAGATAGTAAAAACCAAATTCAATTGGATTTAATTATTTACCCATCAAGCTGTTGACATGATCACTTAGCAACTTTAGAAGACAGTAGTTGGAAGTAACAGGGATAACAAATCTTTAGTCTAAAAATATTTTTTAGTAAAACAGATATAAAGGAAAATATATACTCCAGAAAAATTTTAGATTTTATTCTGTAGTCTAACTAAAAAGATTCCAAGTACTTTATATACATTGTAAGAAAATATAAATAAGATGGCCCTTATAAGACAGTTCCCAGTGTTCTGAGACTTGGTATTCAGCACCCGCCCCCTCTTTCCTCCTACTACATATACTGCATCAAGATTGCTGTGTGTGACCAACAGCAGATAGCAGAGCTGATGTTATTGTCACTGTCAAGAAACTGTTTCAGTTGCAGTTCAGGACTGTTTTTCCCTGAACATTCACTGTAGGAGAAGCCAGCTGACATGTCCAATGCTATAGAAAAGTACATGTAACAAGAAACCTAATGCTAACAACTGTGAATATGGATGCAGATCCTTTAGCTCCAGTTGAGGGTCACTTTAGACAATGGCAGACCTACTTAACCTAACCATCGTTTCTGTAACTTCCAAGAGACCCCAAGGCAGAACCATCCAGCTAACCTGCTACTGGAATCCTAATCTTCAGAAACTGGGTGAAATGATGTTTGTAGTTTAAGGCAGCTAAGAATTGTGATAATTCTCCAACAGATAATACAAGTCTAAAATACTAGTATACAACCAGATTATATCACTCATTTTAAAGATGAGGAAACATTCCTCTAATAGGGTTCTGATATTGGTTTTTGATGTGAGGTGCACTCTGCTTCAAAGTAAATTCTGGACTTTGGGGGAATTAAATGTAGGTCAATTTAAAATACAGTCAGCAGTCTAACTAATTCTAGCAAACCTTTTTCAAATTTACATTGGGATTTCAGGTTGCACTTACCATCTCCTTTTTCATAATAATTCATCTGAATACTTTAACACTGGTCATCAAAAGTCAATGCACAGCCTAATCAAAAGTCTAAGTTGAACTTTGAATATTCATTATAAACTGAATCACTTAATTCATGCAGCATGCAGACTACAAGCAAACACAGACACAATTATTCTCACCTTTACCTGCTCTATATGTCTTGGCTTGATTCACCGGCATGGGCGTCATAGGTATTGGGTATAAAGGCTTGAGGAATAAAAAAAAAAATTAAAAAAAATCATTAGGCTCCTATGATAAGAATGTATTCTACCACTCTTGGTTTTATCTTGCTAGAGATAAAGTTTACTGATTCTCTTATGAGTCATTTAAAAATGAAATCATATCCACAAGCTAATAGGATAAATTCCAAACTAATCTAAGCCATTTTTCTCACCAGAAAACAGTCTCTGATTCAGGTCCTTATACTAACAACACACCAAACAACTCATGCTTCCTCCCTCTTTCAAGTACTTCTGTATGCCACCATGCCTCAGGTCACTACAAATCTAAAGACTGCTTGTGTTAAATACAAAGAAGTAGCGTAGCCACGTGAACATCAAATGCTATGACTTACTTGCACACCTGGGCTCACTGGGACTGGATACATCATATTTGGTGCAAAACAAACAGGCTGAGTATAAACTGGGGTTGGCTGTTGGTGACCCACCATAGATGGGCTAGGTTGTGCTTGAGGTCGAGGAGAAGTTGGGGTTGTAGAAGGCTTTGGCTACAGAAGCAAAAATAAAATTTAACTATTTCAAGTTGAAAACTTAACTATTATCACAATTTGAGAATGTTTGTCCTAATTACTATAATTTTCATCCACTCTTAACTATTATTTTTATCAGGAGGATAAAAAACAAACAAAAATAAAAACCAGTCTAGCATACACGAAAACCCTCCATTTGACTCCCAGCACTACAAAACAAACAAAATTTGGGGATGGAGATGTAACTCAGCGGCAAAAAAATTGCCTACTGTGTGGAAGGCCCTGGGTTCTATCGCCAGCACTACAAAAGCAAAAGCAAAAAAAAAAAATAATAATAATAACAACAACAAACAGAAAACAAATGTTTGAAACAAAAGAAAAAAAATGCTTTTGTAAAAAGCTAAAGTAAATTTTTGTGAAAAAAATATCATAATACATAGCAGTACTAATTTTGTAAGAATCCAGAGAAAGTGATTTTAAATTTTTTAAAAATTTCCTTTTGTTAATACTAAGAAAATATTCATATTAGTAACCATTAGACGAAAAAAAGTTGTTTTTGCATGCTATAAGGAACTTAGATGGCTGCTATGGGAGAAACACTACCACTAATCATACTAATTGTAATAAATCATAATAAGTTAATTATTTTCAGAGACTAGGTTAACCTCAAAGAAATTAATAAACTTACCTGAGAAAAGGAGCGAGGGTTGAACTCCTTTGCATTGGGATTCAATGTTGATTTCCTAACTTGCCTAAACCAAAAAAAATATACAGGCCAATGAAATCTGCAAGGAATTTATGTTTCTCTAAATCTTCCACACCTGACAATATTTTTTTTTTTTAAAAACTGCTGAACATAAATCAGATTTAAACAATTCTCACTAGGAGACTATTAATCTTCTTTGTTAAAATATACACACACATTACATATCCCTTTATCCAAACTGACCATAAGGGTTATTATCATTATTACTACTGCTATTATTTTTTATTGGGGATTGAACCCCAGGGTGCTTTGACACTGAGCTACATGCTCAGCCCTTTTTATTTTTTACTTTGAAACCAGGTTTCACTGAGTTGCTGAGACTGGCCGTAAACTTATGATCCTTTTGTCTCAGCCTCCTGACTCAGTGGGATTACAGACACATGCTGTTGTGGCTGGTTACAAAGGTGGATTATGTTTTTAAAGTAATTTATGACTGATTTTCTCAAAGACAATTAAAATATTGGAGCTGAGAAGATAGTAATCCTTGAAAATAATGTTTAATATGCCAATTCTATAGTATTCAGTAACTTTTAATGTAATCAGACACATTTTACATGACATATGTTGGGAACAATCATGGCTTTAACAGAAATTTTTGCTTTAACCCAAGAATAATCAGTCCCCCAAATTAATGAGTTGTATATCAAAAGTTCATTTATAATGCGGTTGTGTGGAACCCAAAACACAAAAATCAGTGGTGGTTAGAGTCTGAGGCTAGCGCATAAAGTAATTTGACTAACAGGAAGTACCAAATTCCTGGTTTACTCACTCAGCTGCATCTTTCTTCTCCTCTTTATCATCCTTCTCTTGTTTACATGCTGGGCTAGAAGTCTGCACCCCTTGGGATGTAACCTCAGGTCCCCTCTTGTGCTCAGTGTTACTAAGTATTGAAGGGGAGATACTGGGACTGTTCGGCTTGCTGCTGCCACTGGTGCAGTTGCTGCTGCTATTTTCAATGAAAGAATCCTTAGAACTTGGTTCAATTTTGTCTTTGATCACATCTCTTGATTTTTCTCCATCTCTATTTTTGTTTAGTAGTTGATCCATAGATTCAGAAGTAGAACTTGGCTGTAACTAAATAAAGAAAATAATTATACTTAAATATTTTAAGTAATTCTAGTAACCCATTTTCTCCCCCAAAGTACAAACGAAGTAGGCGTGAACTGTTTTGAATAAAATTCCCCCCCAATTTTCAGAATAATGTTGTTATAAGGCAACAATAAAAGAAATGTATATACAACACAACCATCAGAATACTCAAAACATTCTACCCTCAGGTATGGGACTGAGAGATGAAGAAAATGTTGCTAGCATATCACCTATATTTTGGTAATAAGAATTAACATGCATGAAGTGAATACTATGTGCCAGGCTCTATGCTAAACACTTCACTGGCAGTATCTCATTTAGATATTATAAGAACAGGTTTTACAATTACCCCATTTCAGCTTGGAAAAGTAGATAATATGCCCCAATGTTATACATATGGCATATGGGGGGTCAAGATTCAAACCCAGGTCTATTTACCTCAAATACCCACGCTACTAATCCTGAACAGATCAATACAGTAAATTTTTTTTTTTAACATTTATTTTTTAGTTGTAGGTGGACACAATATCTTTGTTTTATTTTTATGTGGTGCTGAGGATCGAACCCAGTGCCTCACGCATGCTAGGCTAGTACTCTTCCTCTGAGCCACAACCCCAGCCCCAATACACTAATATTCTTACACAAATAAAACTATGAGCATCCTATACACAGCTATTCTAGATCCTGCAGAGAGCTCTCCAGGATAAAGAGAGGGAGGGAGATTAAAAACAAGCAATCAGAGTATTCTAATTTCTGTTTCAATGAAAGACTAAAACAAATTCAGTTTAAGGCCATGTCCTTGTCATGAGCACAGCTCTGATGATTCATTCATTGAACAGTGTAGCATATACTATGCATTAGTAGCTGTTGAAGCATTACTAGAAGCTTAAACATCAGATGGCCAGTTGGCGTCATATACTAGACACGTGACTCTGGGCAAATTAATTTCTTTGCCTCAATTTCCTAATATTCATACTGCAGATAATAAAAGAGTAAGTTCAAAGCCAGCCTCGACAACCAAATGAGACCCTGTCTCAAAATAAAAAATAAGAGGGCTGCAGGGCTGGGGTGATGGCTCAGTGGTAGAGCTCTTGCCTAACACGAATGGGGCACTGGGTTCAATCTTCAGCACCACATAAAGATAAATAAATAAAATAAGGGTATTATATTCATTCATACATATATATAAAAGGTTTGAGATGTGGCTCAGTGGTTAAGTGCCCCTGGGTTCAATTCCCCAGTACGGGAAAAAAAAAAAAAAAAAAAGAACTTGCTTCAAAGGGATGTTAGGACAATAAAGGTCTTACATGTGAACTTAAAACAATGTGTAGTCCAAAGGAAATAATAAGCATAATCTAATAACATTTTACTCTAACAATTATAAAGCTCACCCTCGAATCTCTTTTAAATCTGTTTCATTGCTTTCTAGCATTCACTTATGGGTTGGGAGTTGTTATTAAGAGATTTAATAACACCTATGATTATTCAGACTCCAAAACCCAGTAAGACAAAGTGCAAAAGAGAAAGATTTTTAATGGTACTCCTACCAGTAATTTAAAAGTCAAGCATTAATGAAGGTTTATAGAAAGTTTTGGACTTTCTGTAATATCTTATATATTCTGTAATATCAAAAATATATACATACATATATATCTCATAATCTGATGGCCAAAATGTGTCTATTTAATGAACAAGTACTACCTTTCAAAATATATTAACTATAATCAAGACAGTATAGTATTGGCACATAGTCACCCATTTGTTATTATTTGTATTATAGGTGTTAACCATTGCTTAACAAAATGTAAATTAACAACTATTAATAGCATTGATGTTGAAAAGATATGCTGAAGTATGAAATAATATGTAATACTTTAGATGTTGCCAATATGAATAAAACTTAAACAAAACATCAGAAAAATTTAGAAAGTTAGAATTCATGCTGGGAAAAGGCTGTCATCATGCCTCTGACTCATTCGTGTTTTAATTCTATAATTTTTTTTTAAAGACTAACAATTACATTTTTCCCCCCTCTAGGAAGCAAAGTTTCAAGTTGTCCTGAGTTGGTCTCAAAAATCTACCTTGATATCTACACTATATTATTATTATAACTATGCACAAGAATGAAATAAGTCATCAAAGAGTTCAGGGTATGTTCAGGAAATCCTGTCTCAATATAGAGAAATGGTATTATAGAAAGATATCAGGATGGGAATGCAGCTCAGTGGTACAGCATCTGCCTAGCACCGATAACAAACTAGATTTGACCTCCACAACTGTAAACAAACAGAAAAAGACATACGCCATAATTAATACATTTGTTCACAAAGTAGAAATCTTCAACAACTACCATAGAACACCAGGATTCACTGTCCACAGCAGATCATTAAGAATTTGACCTTTGCTCTGCTAAAATCTAATCCCACTAACCATGGTAATCAAATGAACATCAAATAATAAGCTATGGTTTGATGGATTCAAAACACGGATGCCTATATTGTTATTATCCAATCTCATATTTTAGATTATTCCAATTAAGGATAAGAAAGATAACTTTAAGACTGCTTACCTTTTTTTGTTTTTCTTGTCAATATTTGTTTTTTAGTTGTAGGTGGACACAATAACCATTATTTTATTTTTATGTGGTGCGGAGGATCAAACCTATTGCCTCACGCGTGTTAGACAAGCGCTCTATGGCCGAGTCCCAGCCTGCTTACCTATACACATGGTATAATGTTTCTGAGTGGTTACACAATGCATTTTTTGTAAACTAATGATATAAAAGTGGCAATGTTTATTATTTATTTTTTCAAATTATAATTCATTAGTCAATGACACTTACCCTAAAATCATTCTTAAACTTCTTTAAATCATCGATTTGTTTTCTATGTTCAGAAACAACTGGTGATATACCTGTAAAACCAAGAACTATTAAAATACACGTTTATTTTGACTCTAACTTCAAGTTCTTTTCATATGTGATGTCAGAAATGAGAATAACATCTGTCATCAAAAGAAAAACAATTTCAAATATTAATTCTAGCATTTACCAAACTAAGCATTCATGTGTATGCAATACCAAGAAGTGTACAAACAAAAGTACTCTACTGGGCATGAATTAGACATGTTCTTCCCTTTTTCCACAATTATGTTTAAAAACTTAAAACTCTAACCTTTGTTTTCAGCTTTTGAAAAGCTAGGTGATGTTTCATTGGGCTTAACATTTTCTTTATTCCCTGCTGGAGAGTTCTGCCTCTGATCTTGAAGCCTGGAATCTTTAGCTAGAAAACAATTTTTCAAAAAGAATTCAGAAATTAGAAATGTTTTTGGAAAAAATACTTTAACCTGAACAGAGGTTTTAGTTCCTTGCAGACATCATGTGAAACAACACTAATTATATTTACATAGGTATTCAGCACCCAAGGAATGTTAGCCTTCATAACACTAGATATTAAAGAATAACTTATAGGAAACTAGTGGTAATATGTAAACAACAAACTTAATTTACTTAAAATTTTAAATGTGTATTCAAAACACATAGCTATGACAACACAGAATTTTTCTGTTAACCTTGGAAGCCCCCCACCCCACCCCACATACCTTCCATCGATGGGGTCACAGCTCTGTTGGATGCAGGACTGGCAGGTGTAGGAGATGCAGCTGGAATGGGCATGGCAACAGCTTCAGCTGGAATGATACCAGCTTGGGGAGAAGCAAGCACTGGCCCACTGGGAGTATTTCCAATACTGTTCTGTCTGGGAGACCTGGGTCTGTGAGTTTTGGGAGATAATCTTGGAACTAGAAACAAGGAAAAAGTTATTCATTATGTTCTCAGCTCATCTGTCATTTCCTCAAAAAGGCTTGTTTTGAGATCTAGGTAGAACAGTCATCCTCAGTCCCCACTTTTTCCCAACCACCCTGTTTTCTTTTCCAGTCTCAGGAATAGTGGTGGCTACTGAAAACACAAATGTCTGAGGAAAGAAAGCCATTACTAATACCTAAGTACAATTGTGGTTTCCTTCCTAACTGAACATATTAACTTTTTTGAGTCAAGTTGGATATTAGATTCCTATGGCAAGATAAATGCAACTTGCTGGGTTTTTTTTCTTTTTTTCTAAGAAAGATGGATGGCAATATTTTGTACTGAAAAGTTGGGTTATTCCTTTTAAAAATGTGGGATATCCCCAAGAGGCCTATTCCTGCCTCTTTGATACACTGAAACACCACCCAGCACTTTGTAGCTCATCCCGTGTGCTCTTTCTTGAAACATCAAAATCCACTGGGCAATAACTAAGGAAATCAGGACCCAATTTAGCCAAAAGGGTTAGATAACACAAGAAAATAGTATAAATGTGGGGCTGACATTATGATTTCCTAGGTTTTGAAAAAAATGCTTCAATTTACCTCAGTTTCATTTTTTTATCGAAGAAACAAGGATTATGAAAGGAAACATTCAACAATTGTCATTTTTTCTAATTTTTATAAATAAACAAACTTATAATGTTAGTCTGGGTATTTTAATTTTTTTTTTTTTTTTTTGTAGTGTAGATGGACAGAATGCCTTTATTTTATTTGTTTATTTTTATGTGAAGCTCAGGATTGAACCCAGTGCCTCATGCATGCTAGGCAAGCGCTGTACCACTGAGCTACAGCCCCATCTCCAGCCCCAGTCTGGGTGTATATTTAACAACTGTTTTTATTCTCTTGCCTCTAAATGATAGTCACTCTCAAAATTCATTTCCAAACCATCTGAGTAATGCCAAAGTATTAATATTAAGCTGAAGATGATTTTTTAAATGTTTTCTTATTATCTTAATTTAATTGAAGGAATTCATAGTACAACTGTATGAGTGCACATTGTATGAAAGTGATCAGAGAGCATTATCAACTGAACATAGATATTTAATAGTGCTGGGTGTTTTGTTTTTAAGTTTCAAGACTATTTATTGTAAGGATAAAGAACAAAAAAGAAAAGCCGGGGCTGGGGATTTAGCTTAGTTGGTAAAGCGCTTGCTTCGAATGCACAAGGCCCAGCACCACCCCTCCCCCACTCCCAAAAGCCATCATTAAATGCTCTAACTCTATAGTCGTTATGGGGGCAAAACATTAAGGATTGATCAACAAGGTAGCCTACTTTTTAACTTCTGTCAAAGTTTAATTTTTTACACTTATATGGCTGCTATCAGCATATTCCTCAGGCTAGTCACAGTATAAAAGTTTCGTCTTTCATTTGTGTTTGACATTCCTAATAAAGGAAATAAAGTTGGGAATTAGTGCCATGGACAGATGCTATAGAAACACACTCTATGTAAGCCCCCAATAAATGTGTGTAGAACAAATCAACAAACAAATATGCCAAAAAGATGGGAAATACAGTCCCTTCAAAACAGTGCTATGAACTGTATTTGCCTTAGAGTGGGACTTGCTAGCTACCAACTATGTTCATATTTATGAACCTCATAGGAATTATATCACAAACCCATAAAGCATACTAGACAAGAATGATTTTACTCATTGAGAAAATTGAAATTTGGATGCTTGCATGATTTATTCTAAATTTATGTTAATGATCCCAGAAAAACAAAATGTAGTTTTCCCAAATCCTGGCTAGTTCACTATTTGTACTATATATACTTTATATGTATATACACACGCACACACTCTCACATCCATACACACACACTTCCTCAAACAGAGCTTTACCTCCACCCTTTTTATACCTTACATAATTACAAAAAGAACACTGTCAATGTCCTAAGCCAAGTGATACCTACCACCACTGACCACTGATGACCATGTTCCCCCTGCAGGACTAGTCCTTGCCACTGGAGGAGTAGCTGCTTCACTTGGTGGATTGTGGGATACAAATTCTAGGCCACTAGATATAGAGCCCCTCCCAGCAGAAACTCTGTGATTTCGAGGGTGTCGCTGGGCCTTTGGGGACATCCTTGGAGGCCCTAAGAAAGGAACAGTGAACATGACATAAATATCATATGCAATGTCCATCAGTACTACATTTCTGCTAAACACTCACTCTCTCTCTCTCCTCACTCACTCATTCAATAGTTGTTCCTTGACTAAAAAATAAAAGGTTGTGGGTGGGGGAAGACCCATACCATATTTATTATTGGTCATACTACTAAAGACGTATTCTGTAAAATGCCAGAGTTTATAAATAAATGCCATTTCCCTTTATTTTTTAAGGGAGAGATGAAGTTGGTGGTAAGAAATCAAACAATAAGATGTCATAACTAATAAGAGAATTTTAGCAATCTATTTACTCTAAATCCATTAGTTGTAGGCATATAAAAATAAAGAACTATAATAAAATGTTAACTGAAGGTACAGTTACACAATGAAATAATTTTTACATATACTATTTCCAAAATTAGAAAAAAAGTATTTTAAAATTTATTTATTTTGGTGGTGCTGTATATATCAAACCCAGGGCCTCATACATGTCAACAAGCACTCTACTATTGAGCTGTGTCCAGTCCCCTCCAAAAAAAAAAAAATTTTTTTTTAAGACTAGCCATCCCCAGATCCCCCTGTACTCTGAAATACATGTATATACCCTTCTTATATTTCTCAAAAATGTTAGTTTATCTTAACTCTTCTGCCATGATCATCAATTTTATAACTAATGGCTTTAAAAAGTCCTTACCTATAAGCAGTTAGCAGGCTATGATCTGAAAATTCTACAAAGCATGACTTGAACGTCCAGAATAGGTGACACTTGCGGAAGAAATTTCACTATGTGAATTGTTAAAATTTTACATCACTGGTCTGCCACCCCATTAGGGATTTGTCTTTCTAAAGCTGTCTAATGCACATTGGACCAAACCATCAGGTGAAAACTAATGGGCAGAGCTGCTCTCATCACAAGTCTGACAATGAGAACATTCACAAGACACATTCTTAGGGTCAAAGTCAAGACCTCTTAATCAAACCTAGCTGTCAAACTCTTTAAAACATCAAATTAATGTGTGTCCCCAATAGGAATTAAAACATGAATATGATCTTTAAAAGAATGCCAATGATATAAACTTTCCACTGGAGATTAAACAGCATCTCTGAAAAATGCAGAAGGTACATTTCTATATGAAAAGCTATTCCATAAACAGTCCTTACATCTTAATGTAATAATGACATTCACAACTCATTAATGAGAATATTTTATCTAACACTTTCTCATTATATAAACTTCTATTCAAACAATGGACTGCAATACATACTTCAACAGAACTTAACTCCACTATTAGAAGCACTTTTGAGAAAGCAAGTCAGCTTGAAAATCTGTGAAACTGGCTGTTGAATGTGCGCTGTTTTGGTCAAGGTCTAATGATCTCCCTACTAGGGTGACAACAATTTATTTAAAAACAGTCACCACTGTTTCTCCAGAGAAGCAGTTTACATAGAAAAGTTTATTAGTCCCAACATAGCAATATCAATTTGTGATTTTAATGAACAAGTCTGATTAAAATTTTAACACAAATATTCTGAATATCAAAAGGACATTATCATTTAGAAAGCAGGACTTTAAATTTATGCACTGCATTTTTAAATTGGAATGTTACCCTTCTACAACATATGCAAATATCTCATATGTAACTGTAGTGGGTTTAACATCAAATACTAAATAAGAATTACAGGATTTTCTTATTTTTGACAAGAACAAAAAAAAAATCCCTAAAGATTCCAATTCATACCTGTGTTTTATCAATAATTTCATTGATATCAAGACCTCTTCTCACTTAAAAATAGCTTGTACAGTATAATACTGCAAAGCTAATTTTAAAAATTACTCAGTTAAGTTTAGAATTCTTCAGGTGCTCTAAAAAAAACAACAGTCTGTATTATAATCTGAGGGTCCACAGACAAAGGAAGCTACAAGGAATGTCATGCTAAAAAAGGATCCCTAAAACACAATTCCTGCCTATGGCCAATAGGAAGGTTCACTGGCATTTTGGCCAAGGAGCTATTATAAAATGACAGGTTATTCAGTTAAGTCCAAGGCTAATTGGAGAAAGTTCACTGTTCACTATTAACCACTACATCCAGTATCAATCAGGAGAAAGAGGCCCTGGGCAGATCTTTCTGGAGCTGTGCAGAAGCATAATTACTAGGCAGATTAAACCCCCTTTCTTACAATGCAGGATTGTTCATAGCTTCACAGAGCATTTATCAAATTTCTAATGAACAAAAGGTTAATAGAATAGTTTTAATAAACTAAAGTTAAAACACGGAAATTATAGGTTATTAAATAATGAAGAGGAAACTATTTTGTAATTATAAACTCACATAGGAGTTAAACAAAGACAAACAAAAACATGAACAAATTGTGGTATTGTACCTTCTGAAGACATGCGTTTAGGCATAGTAGAGACAGGAGCTGGAGAACCATGAGCAGAGGGGTGAGACGGGGGTCTGGATGGCCGCGAGGGGGGCCTGGAGGGCGGCCGTGTAGGGGTGGCTGCCCGAGGTGGAAGAGAGTTGGGACCTGACTGGTAGCGAGAAGGTGGGCGAGAGGAAGGAGATGGGCAAGGCGATGGCCAGGGAACACCTGACAGAACAAATGATATGAAGGAAAGTATAAAAACTAAAGAAAAAAATGAGGGAAAAAAGTAAACAGAAAAAAAAGTAAAATGACAAAAATGATTTCTTGTACATTTTAACCCTTTGAGGACAGTCATTTGTTTTTGATAAGTTTTAGCATAACTTAACTGACATAAATTCACATTTTACTTTAACCTCCTTAAAATTAAGTCTGTTTAAATGAATACACGTTCCCAAAGGGTTAATTAGGATCTACACATACTATTGAAGAAGACAGTTAAGACTTTGTCTAGTAATTCTGCTTCTATAACTGTTTCTCTCTAAACAATTGTTAAAAGGAATATACATACAATAGATAACTTCACACAATAAAACACAATAATTCTTAGTCAGGAATAAGATTGCTTACTATATTAGTTTTAGCTCAGAAACAATAAAAATAAACACCAGCTATTATATCCCATTTACAGAGCTGGTTTCTTACAATCATCTATGATTTTCATTAAGTTTATATTTGAATCTAAGGTTCAGTTTGAAGTCTCATTAGAAATCAAGTCCCATTTAAGTAGAAATAAAATATTAATTCTATTTTGTAGAATCACAGGAATAATAAAGGTATCAAATTTGCTCTTTCAAAATAAGTCTCCATATCTCATTAAACTAGAAAAGGGGGAACCTTCCAAATAATTTATGCCGTTAAAATACTTATCTAAGAGACTGCTTAATAAATAGTGCAACTACAAAGCAGTCATCACCAAATAAATTGATCCTGATAGATACGCATAGGTCAAAATACACTGACATTTACCATTGCAGAGCACTTACCTTAACCTTAGAAAATAGTTCCAGGTCTCCTCTCCAGAGGGCTCCACGCACTTGAGTATTATACATTTCCCAGCCCCCTTCAGGTCTTTTTACTTTGAAAATTCTGTTTATGAACAACTAAAAATCTTTACTCAATAAGCAAAGAAATTTTCATCCCCAACACTAAATATAGAAAATACTCAAGACTGTGTTCATCTGGAGAGGAATTCTGGAAAAAAGACTTAATAAAAAGAAAATGAAATTGGAAACTTAGTGTTCTCTAGTTTTGATCTAATTTTATAAATTTAAATGCCTAAAATTGAATGTCCACTCTACTCCCTTAGTAAGACTACTGTTGTTACTAATTACCTTATTCCCATACCATTTACAGGGGTGCTGAATCCTCAGAATTCTATAAATCATCTATAATCTATGAGCTATCTTCAATCTAGATTTAGAATAGTGAAAAAAATACCTTCCTACTAAAGACTCAGGTTTCTTTTATTTAAGATGCTAAACTGTAACATCTACACTTAAGGACTTAAGAGTTGTTTTTATTAATTTCTTCACATGACTCTTAGTCATGTCTTGTATTACAAATTACAACTCCTTTCTTTATTAACCACTAAGTATATTGAATATATATTAGGATTTTCCATATAAACTATATCTAAATAATTTTATTATCCAGTGTTTTTAAAATTGAGAACCTACCCAAAGTTTCCAATTTCTTTACATGTGGGATTTTTTTTTTTTTTTGGCCAAGTGAATGTCAGAAGCAAACCTAGAACTTTATCTTAGTAGATGATGAATGTTTTGTCATACTGAATACTATATATGCCAAAAACTTATATATAATATTTCTAATCTGATATTCACAAAATCAAGTTTTAAGTAATTCTGAAGCGAAAAACTACTCCACAAAAATCATCAATAGTATGCACATTCCTATCAATTGTGTAAACTCATTTTTAGTTTGTATGAAAACTATATATTTGATCAATGACATTGATAAATTTGGCCAAAATACTTGCCTCCATTAACTACTCTTTGGTCTGAACCAGAATTCGGGTTGAAATCTGAAGTGTGAGAAGTGGATCTTGATGGCATGGCGCCCGATCCAGGCTGGCCCATACGCGGTGAATTCTGTCTCCCACTTCCCCAGGATATGACTTCTCTATTTCTTTGTCCAGGAGGAATATATTTATTTTCCCTGAAAATGAGAGATCCTCTAAATCATTTTATCTTGAAACATGTCTAAAAAGTAATTTAGGTAAAGGGAATATTTGTTATAAAAATGTTCAACACTAAACCAAACTGCTTCAATTCCCTGTTCTTCCATCTTACCCTGAGTTCTAGCTTCTAGCCTCATCCTTCCCTCAGATTCTCCTCCAAGCACAAAGTTTAATAGACATATGGTCATTTTCACCCTATTTGATCTCTCTGTGGCTGACTCATGATCAATCTTCTTAAAGTTTTTTTTGGGGGTCCTTGGCTTTTCAACTTTACTTTCTCTGAGATCTACACGGTCTGCTTGTTCTTTGTGAAGTGTTTTGTTTTTTGTTTTTTTTTTTTGGTGTGTGTTGCTTCAATATCAGCAATGCTGATCAATCTCAAATCCACAGTGCCTGTTCCAGACTCCACACATCTCAATGAACTTATCCAAATGTACCACCTAAGCTGTGAGTGCCTTGACAATAGGTATCTACCAGGTATGCAGTGGGTGCTCCTGAATAAATGAAAGACACACAAGCCCCTCAAATGCAACAAACTGCATGAATCAAGTTGTTTCTCCCCTCAAACTTGCTTCATCTTTCCTATCTCCATTATCAGTACAACCATCAACTCAGTTAATCAAATAAAATCTCAATAAATCCCCCTTGATTTTTCTAAGCTTTATATCACAAACTTTGGTCTACTTGGTTACCAAGTTGACACAGCTGTTCTCCCTGGGATTTGTTCACCCCAGCACCTGCTTTCAAGATGCTCTTTGGCTTATACACAAAGTCCTTTCACTATCTCAGTTCCTGTCACCACCCGCCACCACTACACTCACAACATGGATCATTGACACAGGAAACAACTAGCCCTTTCCTGAGCTTGGCTGGTTGTCTCACAGGGCTGAGTTTCTGCGTGCGGGTGTCTTTTCACCAGGTGAGAAATCTTTTCTCATACTCCTCTCTGAGTGGCAAACAAACTCTATTATCCTATCACAAAAAGTCTCCTCAGTGAGGTTTTCTTAAAACACAATTAATTCTAGCTCCTCCTCACCTTGGATGTTCCTAATACTCTAAACACACCTTTAATCTAGTGAATCATATTGTCCTGTTAATTACTCTTTAGCAAGCTCTGTAAGACCTTGGCTTGCTCTTCATCATATACTCAATACTTTGGCTCCACAGAGCTGACTCTCAAAATACATTTTCCAAGATTACCATAACCTTTTCTCTAACAAAATCTGTTACACCAATTCCACTTGCATTCTCTACCTAAGCTCATTTAAAAAAAAAAAAAAAAAAAAAAGGAAATATAATAATACACCTTCTCACACAGACCTTGAGTTGTGTATCCAAAATACTGCATCATGATTTCCTTTAAATACCTAGTGTTTATGCTGTGCCCCTCACGTTCACTGGAATTTCTCTGAACTGCTGTATATTTTTCTTCCTCGCTTCTATCATCATTTTCCAGGGCCACCCGAGCTTTGTACTGAGCACTTGATTCAATTTCTTCTGCTAACTGGTTTGCCCTTGCTTCCCGTTTTAAAAATTCTTCTGAGTTATCCCTTTCTAAGGGTACCCTAAAACATAAGGAAAAGAAAAGCAAAGTGATTTTAAAGTAATAGTTTATATACCTGTCATAATCAACTATTAAGAAAGTTTAGTCTGATATACTAGAAAACTGTAAAAGTATGGTGCCTGTTAATTTTTAAATCAAAAATCTGAATTTTTTTCCTGTTACCATTTTATACATGGAAGAACATTCAGTATTTCAAGAACTATTCATCAAATAGAGACCCTTTCAATGCAGTATTTTACAACTTGAAAACAAATTTATTTTAAACATAAAAATAATTAGGTATTGGGAAACTACATTTATTGCCTGTTTTAATAGAAATTTATAGATCTAGGTAGAACAATTCTTTGACACATTTGTTTAACTTAAAATTCAACATTTATTCCACACAATTTTATGAACATCAAAGACAAGTAAATGTACTAAAATAAAAGCAAACTCTTTAAACTTACGTATATGAAGATAAACTGCTATCATATGTAGACACTACTCCATAATTTTCTTCATTATATCGAAACATATCATTGGGATCCCATCCATTAGACTAGAAGAAAATGAAGCTCATTTTTTAAAGTGATAAAATATTTATCTTCTTTAATTCAGTTTTAAAACATTTACAGTAATATTATCCTAGTTAAATCTAGCAAATCAAAAAATAAGCAAAACTTTCCTTTCAAAATATTTTAAGGAAAAATTTTTCTTCCACATCAGCCCCTCAAACAGGTAAGTAACTATAGAATCATTTGAGATGATATTCAAAAAGTTTAGAATATATTAGTTACTTCATTAAATCAGAGCTTTCTGATCACGGTTCTGTCCTTTCCTTACCCTCTTAACAGCTACCTTTCTGTAAGACAGAAACACCTAGATTTACCAGAAACTTCCTGAGGTCATGGATCATAAGTATGTGAAGGAAAAAAGGTCTTTTTGACAGACAAAAATATTTCCAGTGATGGGAGAAAAGAAGAAAGACGACAAAGTTTTCCCCACTTCATCATGACTTCAAAGTGGGACCACAGTACTAGACCCCAGCCATCCTCCCCTTCTATATTCGAATGCTCAAAGGAAGTGTGATATGAGGCCATCAGCAGACTAAAATCATAAGATCTGGGTTTAAGAACAGGTTTTGCCATTAGCAGATGTTGGATCTCAAAAAGAGCGATTCTGAGTCTAGAAGCCCTAACTTACAACCTCTGTGTAGATAACTCTTCAGTTCCATAAAAGAACTATAGGAAACTACTATTCTTAGAAGCTAGGTTGTATTATTTAAACTGTAAGAATCAACCAACTGGGGCAAATGCTATAAGAATACTCACTGATAATACTAATGTCTGGTTAATCACTTATCTATTTAATCCTTCAAGTCTTCTTTTAAAGCTAGACTGGTCAAAACCAGAGACCCAGCTTTAACCAAGAAACACTGCTGGGCGCAGTGACACACACCTATAATCCCAGTGGCTTCGAAGCCAGCCTCAGCAATTTATCGAGGCGTTAAACAACTCAGTGAGACCCTGTCTCTAATAAAATATAAAATAGGGCTAGGGATGTGGCTCAGTGATCGAGTGCCCCTTGAGTTCAGGTTCTGGTACCCAAAAACAAAATTAAAAGAAAAAGAAAAAGAAACTCTGATCGCAATTTCAACACTGAAGCTTGCCTTAAAATTCACCAATCAGCCCTGGGTCCTCCTACATTAATCCTGATAAGACAACAAAGTAACTATACCATGAAAGTAACTCCTTTGGCCTAAAGATGTACCAGAAATCCAGAAATCACAATTACCAATGGAGACTTTATAACTATTTAAATAAAAATTAATATAAATTCTACAAAAAAAATCCACACCACACAGAAAGACATTCAGTGAAAAGTATCTTCCAATCCCAGGGTGCATAGATAACTACTACTAACAATTTCTGAAGAATAATTCCAGACTTCTATATACATATATGATCAGCTCTTCTTTAAAATTCAAATTGGATCTAACTGTTCTGCAACTTGCATTATCTTTTAATCTTGGCTATCACAACACCATTTTAAAAAAATATATATATAATATTTATACTGAGCGGCAGCAACATAAATCTATTTCATTTGTTCTACTGATGGATGAATACTGCTTTTGTTTTTGGAGGTGGGGATTTAACCCAGGGCTTCACACAAGCTAGTAGTCTACCACTGAGCCACATACTCCACCCTTTTGATGAACACTTATAAAAACATCCCCATATATAATTATTTGCATGTATTATCCACATCACATATTCCCCACACAAGTCAGGTGATGCCTACTTGAAAACTGATATATTCAGATATATGAATCTTTAAAGTTCGGAAACTAAGCTGGGCATGGTGGCATATGCCTGTAATCCCAGAGACTTAAGAGGCTGAGATGCAAGGATTGCAAAGTTTAAATTTAGCTTCAGCAATTTATGAGACCCTGTTTCAAAAAAAAAAAAAAAACATAAATAAATGAAAAAGGGCTGGGGATGTAGGTCATTGGCAGTGTCCCCCCCACCCCAGTTTGAAAATTAATTAACAATATATTAGTTAGTGAATTTCTGGCTTTATAACTAAAAGGCCCTAGTTATAATTACTAAGTTATTATGTCTTAAAACATTTAATACAGATACTCTGTTGTCAACGGAAGACTATTGGAATCAAATTTTGCAACCCAAACATTCGCCAACACTTTCTATCTCTATAATCTTTTTATCCTAAAGATAAGAGTCTGTTAAGCATTTGATTTGTAGATGGTGTACTGGAGAAAAGCAAAAATAACATGTTGCAAGAGGCATCTTAGATATAGGCTTTTTTTATGGAGAATGATTTTGATGTGTGGGTGCGCGCGCACGCAGTGGTGGCACTAGACATTGGATCCAGGGGCGCTCTACCACTGAGGTACAGCCCAGCCCCTCCCTTTATATTATATTGAGACAGGGTCTCACTACGTTGTCCACGCTGGCCTTGATTCAGCAATCTTCCTTGCCTCAGTCTGCCAAGTAACCAGGATTATAGGAGTGTACCTCAGTACATGGCCAGAGAATGATCGCAATTTAAGACCAAAAATTTTACTTAATACTTTAATTATAATGTAACCTAATTATTTATCTTAATAATGAGTACCTTTTCTCTTCCTCAGACAAGAAGCTTAAAATGTTCAGCTTCCACCTCATCTCTAGGTAATGTCAACAGACAATGAAGATACCATCTCCTTACGTTGCCTTATTCTGCAGGGTGTTCAAAGCAAAACACACTGGCATTTCTCATGGTTTCCACTTTAAATCTGTAAGTTGCTTATTATCTTTTAATTATAAGGAAATAATAAATGAACACAAGAATAGATTACACCCTGCTTAGCCCTCACAAATAAATTAATAAACAGGCTGAGGATATTGCTCAGTGGTAAAGCACTCGCCTAGCATGCGTGGGTTACTAGGTTCAATCCCCAGCACTGTAAAGTAGAAGTAGTAATAGTAGAAAAAGTAGTAGTACAAGTAGAAAAAGTAGTAGTAGTAATAGTAGCAGTAGTAGTAGTGGTGGTAAATAAACATTTTTCCTTATTCTTTATTTATTGCCTGGGACAAAGTCTCTATTTACATAACAACAGCTGCTCCAAATATATTCTTTACAATAACAAAAACATATGTAAATTAAAAATAAGTGATAGGATGAATGAATGAATACCACACTGACCACAGTCTGATAACCAAACAAAGATATTACTTACTACGTCGTTTTCCAAAGCCTCCAGTTCTTCGCTGGTTGAGAGTTCACCTGCATCCCAGGGCTCCAGGTCCTTCTCTTTGTGTTCACCATTCACTTTAGCACTGATAGCAGAGTCAGTAAAAGCATCTGTAAAGAATGGTTTTGGCTGAATGATCATACAACTGGATAACAGGCTACAGTTATATGCATCAATTATCAACAAAGATGTAGGATTTAAAAAAAAAATTTGGAAGTGAATTTCTGATAAAGAAATAACATTCATTAAACAGTGTGCTTTCGAACAATTCAGTAAATACCACAAATGATTATTAATAAAGGCATTTTCTTCAATTTTAAACCAAGAAACATTTTAATATACTCACATAATTCCTTAAATTATATTAAAGATAATTCAAGTGACACATAAAATTCCCACCATCTATTTAAACTAAGATTTCTTGTTTAATGGCTACTAACTAATATACCTTCAGAGTACTTGCAGTCAAATACATATAGACATATTTTTTTAACTTTCTAAATCCACATGTATACGCAGAGGTTGGTATCCAAACATACTCTTGCCAACAGTAAATTTAACTATTTGAAGTGGCTCCTCCTTTCCTAGAATTCACTTTTCCTGATACCACTTTGTTATAAAGCTCAGGCTGTATACCGTTACCTGTCTCCAGAAAATTCAGACAGGCCTACCTACACTTCCTTTTAAAGTATTCTCACTTACTTGTGTCCTATTCTACTCTGCTAGTGTTTCTGAGGAATACTGCCTTGTGAGAGCAGCATGACATCCATATGTTCAGCTGACCATACTACAATCTGGCAAAAGTTAAAAAGTTGACAGTGGGCCCAACTTAAGCTAAATAGTGGTAGAAAATGCTTTATAGACATTCATTTGCATTTAAATACTTAGACCTATAAGGTGGGACCTACCACAAGCTACCAGTAATAATTCTGATGTGGCTCTGCTGAAAAGAATAGGCCCCCAGTCATTGTGCCCTCACCCTTACTCAAAGTTGTCCCAAAGAGGAGGGGATGCTTTAACAGCCTAATGCACCCAATTTTCCCTCTAAAGAAACAATTCCAGAGGGATTTTTGATTTGGTAATGCTTCTATAATAGTCTTTTCCTAATGATCAAGGTGATGCCAAAATTTTAAAAATTGAGCAAGCCAACTGAGGCAGGGCATTCCAAGATTAGCTAACTCTCATTCCAAACTAAGGATGGGTAAGAAAAGGAGTGTGTACATACACACCAGGGAATAAAATCATCATTGCACCTATGGGCTTTGCTGCCATCTTCACAGCAGCATTGTCATTGCTGCTAGCAATTACTGAAGCCAAAAATGTGCAGAGGGAGATCCCCAGAGTAGCAGGTCTCAGATGGGGACTGGACAAAACATTCACTGGAAAACAACTACACTTTGGAAACACTATTTTCCCAACACCTCATCTTCAGTTGGAAGCCAGAGATGTCATGGCTCTAAAAACCTAACCTTATTTGACACTAGCCTGAATCAAGCCCTATACTACATCATCTTAAAGTTATAGGAATTCCTTGTAAAAATTAATTTGCCCGTGTGTATATTCAAGAATATTAAATATTTCAAGGAAACAGCAAATAATAACCTTCATTAGTACCCTGAAATTTCTTTAATTTTCACCAGAATACAAAGAATACTAGACTATAGGAAAATGTAAAACCAGTCAACATGACTATTAATGTATATAGGACCCTGTTAATGCTTTCACCACACTAGTTTTTGAAAAGTTTATGTTCGAGTGAATAAAGCATTTATTTAGTTAGAAACAGCATAAAAAGGGCTGGGGATGTGGCTCAAGCGGTAGCGCGCTCGCCTGGCATGCATGCGGCCTGGGTTCGATCCTCAGCACCACATACAAACAAAGATGTTGTGTCCGCCAAAAACTAAAAAATAAATATTAAAAAATTCTCTCTCTCTCACTCTCACACACTCTCTCTTAAAAAAAAAAAAAAAAAAAGAAACAGCATAAAAAGTTAATGCTTTTAATTCCAGAAATTAAAGCTCAAAGCAGCTAGAGTTTTATGAAACCAAAATAGACTTTTTCTGATTGCTGTGTGTGGGGTGGGGAAGGAAGAGAGGGGGAAGTATTTAAAAAAGACTGTGGACTGAGCAGAGCAAAGCTGTTTTCAAATGAAAAGATCCAAGCACACAAAACAAAATGAATAGTTTAATTCTACTTTTATGATATGATTCTAAACAACATCAAAAAAGGATCCCCAGACTGGCAAGCATGGTGGCAACACTTACAAATACAGCAGGAACAGGAGAATGGCAACTTCAAGGCTGGCCTGTGCAACTTGGCAAGACCTTATCTCAAAATAAAAAACACTCAGTGGTAGAGAGCTTCCCCTGGATACAGTCCTCAGATGGGAGCCAATGTGGACGGGAGCAAGTGTCTAAAACCTTAATGAACCAGGCTTTACTCTGCTGACCACAATTTAGGTTGTATCAAGAGGCCATCATTAGGTGAGATAGCACATTCCTGTAATTTCAGTGGCTCGGGAGGCTGAGGCAAGAGGACCGTGACTTCAAAGTCAGCCTCGGTAACTCAGTGAGACCTTGTCCCTAAATTAAAAATGCAAAAAAAGGGCTGGGGATGTGGCTCAGTGGTTAAGCGACCCTGGGTTCAATCCCCAGTACCCCCCGCCAAAAAAAAAGAGGCCAATATTAGGTGACTTGTTTTTTTCAATTCTACATTTTTATCTTAAAATCTTCTGTTAACAATATCAATCTTATAAAGAAATCAACTACTATTATGCTATAACTTAGAAATGGGGGAAGGGAAAATATGAAAGTATAATTCTATAAAGGATATGTTCCTTGATTTTTAAAATTTTCCCCAAAGTAGGTCCTTTTTAAAAGATAAGTGAAAGATGGGCCAGAGTGGAGCATCAGCACAAAATGAGATGACAGTGGCAGTTGCTAGGTTGTTAAGTATCTTATTTAAGGCCAACACAGTGTCATGAACTAGAAGGAAGAAAGGCCTTGGTGTTCCATTCTACACTGTTACCAATATCCACTAGTGCAAACTCTGATTTATTTTATAATTATAAAATAAAATACTAGACATTTGTTAACAGCTTTTTTTTTTAGTTTTAAAAAAACACTGATGATATTAAATAGCACAATGTTGAAACCAGATTACTGCAAAGTTCAAAAAATCAATTGGCTATATTCTAATCGTTAAGTTGTGGGAATTTGCATGCAAACTATATCCATGCTATAAGTCACAGTCTATTAAATTTCCATTATTCTCTATGGCAAGAAACAAAAGCATTATAAGAGCAAGATGCAAAAATACAAAGTGAATGTTAGAAAAATGTTACCTGTTTCTGAAGGAACTATAGGTATAGAAAACAAAAAAAAGGAAAAACAATAAAAATTATCAAATGAGACAAAAGACAAGGATTTAGTTCTTTCTGTACTTTATTCCCTGACTTAGAAACTTCCAATTTCCAAAAACCTCTACACTAGAGGGTGAGGAAAGGTGTAAGATTACAATCCCCCTCCCCAATGGTACCCCCACGGTGGGCAGGCTCTCAACACCCTGGCTCCACTCTGATTCTAGACAGAACCTAGCCATTCTGGGACAGAGATGCCATCTGGTGGTAGTCAAGAAGACATGACTAAACCACTCCGCTACCTTTCTTGGGTATCCCCCATTCCATGCACTGGTCTTGAACCTTTCCTCTTTTACTGCTCATATAATTATGCTGCTGAAAGATCATTCAAGCTTGTCTCAGAATTTTTTAAAGGGCTCGAATCCAGAGACTCAGAAGGATCACAAGTTCAAGGCCAGCCTCAGCAACTTAGTGAGAATCTATTTCAAAATGAAAATTAAAGGGCTGGAGATAAAGCTCACTGGTAATGCTCCTCTCAGTTCAATCCCAATCCCCTGTACCACTCCCCCTGTTCCTCAAGAGTAGACAAATAAGTAAAATGATTTTGAAGTGTTTCATATAAATTTACATATATACAACTATAAAAATAACATAAATTAGATGAAACAATCATTAACATTAGAAATCACAAATGTTATTCCAGAAAGAGCTTCAAAGTCCTTTACTACCCATTTCATCTCAATTAAATTTGCTTTCCTCAAACACTGAAATTCTAGATAAGAAAACACTTAAATTTTATTTTAATCAATTATTACGGTGGGATTTTTTTCTACAACCTTTAAAAACATTTTCTCATCATACATTATCAGAGTTCTTGCCTAGCATGCATTAGGGTCTGTGTTTGATCCCAAGCACCACAGGGGGTGGGGGTCTGTAAGCCAAGTGCAATGGCACACGCCTTTCTAATTCCAGCTACTTGAGAGACTGAGGCAGGAGGACAACTGAGCCCAGTACTGAGGAACAAATGTATGCAAAAATTTTCTGCACAGTATACAAGTCCACAGGCTTCCCCAGAGAAGAGGGACTATGTGTTAGAGGAGAGATTTTTTTTTTTTAAATTACATATACAACTGTTCTAACTACATTATTACAGCAAGAGCATAAACTATGTTATATAGATAATATTAAAGAACAGCATAAAGAAACAAGTTGAGGATAAGGAACCAGATATAGATTAAAATAATAAAACCAAAGGCACAAGTAAAAGCACTACCACAAGTAGAGGCAGAAGTAGAACTACCATGACAAGAGAACTGCAGGGAGCTGGGGCCCAGGGAGTTTTTGGATTAGGGATTCTTATCCTTTTTTTAATCCAGGGATCCCTTTGGCATTTTGGGGAAATCTATGGAACCATATTCAGAATGTATTTAAATGCATAAGAGACAGAAAATCAATAGAGACCAATTATAATAAAATGCAATTATCAAAATCTAAAACAAATTTTGTGGCACAGTAATATGTATACTTCTTTATTAAGGCACTAAATAATAAGATCTAACAAGAGATGATCTAATGACTACTATAATTTTTTAAAGGTGATGAACATAAATAAATCTGAGATGTCCACAGGATCAAGTGACAAGAAGCTTTTCAGTTGCAGGCACCAATACTACTATTGGTTTGTTGCCTACATTTATAATGGGAAGAAATGCTAAATTTCACTCAAAGTTTAGCAAAATTAAAAGTGCTTTG